TCGACGTTATAGCTCATTGTAAACCAGCGTTCGCTAATATATATCGATTGGTATATACGTTGATATTTATAATATTTATTGTTAGCTTAAGCATTGGGTCTCAGCTAGAAAATTAACCAAACCAACGTGATGCTGGCAACATTGGCCCGATGAAGCAATATTACTAACTAGAAATTTCGCGTCTTCGGTCCTACACGTTACTGGAAATCCTCGAGCGCATACTATTATAATATTATTTTATAATAAATAAACAAATATTCAATAACTTAAACTTTTTATTATAAAGAACAAATATTAAATAAAGCCACTTGCGTCGAATCGGATATTTTGATATATTTCTCCTATTATTATCCTAATATTAATATTATAAATGTGAAAGTTTCTTTGTTTGAATGTGTGGATGTTTAGATGTTTGGATGTTTGTCGGTCTATCACGCCGAAACTACTGAACGGATTTTGATGAAATTTGGTATACAGATAGGGTATTGATATTGATAGTGGGATAAAAAGTATCCTATTCTCTAAGCTGACTTAGAGAATAGGATACTTTTTATCCCACTTAACTTTTCCCTAGGGTCTACGCTGGCGCGCGGGCGCGAAGAAAGCTAGTTATAAATATTACAAATATTTTGTGAACACTGTTGTAAACTATTTCTTATCAATATTTTATCTTTTAATTTCAACTGTATCTGCGGTATAATACTTCCAATATTCACTAATATTATAAAAAGGGAAGATTTGATTGTTAGTTTGTATGTTAATTTCAGCTCAGATACTACTGGACCGATTTTAAAAATTCTTTCACCTACGGGTAACTTAATCATACGGCGTTGACATTGGCTATAATTTACGCGTGAGAAGTCGCGGGAAAACAGATAGTAATATATATTATTTTGCATTAGATGTCTTTTTAACACATATCTATATGATTTTAGTATTAAAAAGGTACGCGTAGGATAATTATATGGATGGAGTAAATGTTATGGACTTATTCATACATTTCTAATCTATGTATAGCACAAAGTCGCTTCCCGCGTCCCGTTTGAACTGCACAACGTAATTGGAGCAGTACGTGCATTTTTAAAATTTAATAAACGTATTTTTCTCTTTTCTCTGAACCTATAAAAAGCAATAATAAATAATAAAAAAATGAGACGGACGAATATATAGATCATCACCAAAGTTTATTATTATCTGTCAATATCGATGCCAGACAGCCGCGTGTACAATTCTAATTGCTGCAATGACAATGCTCGAATGCCTTATAATGGAGATACTGTACTGATACACATTGACTATTCGTAAAAAAGATGTTTCTTTCATTCAAATTTTTTATGTGTCATTTTGTTCGTTATATAGATGTTTGTTCATAAGTATCTTGAATGAGCTGAGACCAAATACCTCAAAAAGTGCCTACGTCCATGCCGTGCCTATATATGTTACGTAATCATCATCAGCAAATTTATGTCACCACTGCTGGGGCACAAGCCTTTCCTATAGATAGAATCGTATAGTGAAAATGTGCTATGATCCACAACATGGGAGGTCCGAATCGATGAAATATCAACAACCACAGATGCAGGCAGAACCAACGGCTTAACATGCCACAGCCTTTGGACCATGGAGAAGCTCGGGATAATACCTTTTTAGTCACCCATCCTATGAACGCACTAACCACTGAGCCATTAAGACATAAGTTTTATAATGCTTTTCACGCTTAAATAGAGTAAAAATGCCGTTCACGGTCAGATAGTCTGATGGACATATAAGACAAATCAGCCCTAAGATTCTGTAAAAATCACTTCAAATAGCGGCATCCGCACAATCTTGAATTGGTAATAACGTTTCGTAGCATAATTAAAGTGAGTTACGAAATGACACAGGAATAGAATATCTGAGACGTGTATATTCAATCAATTTCGTTTTGTATTTTTATACAAAAAATGGAATTAATAGAATTTCTACAATCAACGACGTGAATTTGGACACATGTGTGAATTCGAAATCGGGCCTGGACTTTTACTGTAACGTTAAAACAGGAACCCTATTACTAAAACTTCGCTATCTATCTGTCTGTCGGATGTATCTATCTGTCTGTCGGATGACAGTAATCCTATTGTTGAAACGACAACAGAAATACCTTTATCATCTGTGAAAATCCATGATATCCATCAGGCTGTGATCAGGCGGCCTCATGAACCGTGAAAGTAAGATAGTTGAAATTTTCGCAGATGATGAAGGTATTTCTGTTGTCGTTTCAACAATAGGATTAATAGGATTAAAAATAATGGTATAAGGAATTCTTTTTCTGGCCTTTTATGATTCTGATTTATTTATTGTGATTGATTTAAAACACAAAAAATACTAAAAATGACTAGAAATCCTTACAGTACATAATCCTATTAATATTATAAATGTGAAAGTTTATTTGTTTTTTGAACGGATTTTGATGAAATTTGGTATACAGATAGAGTATTAACTGAATTAGATTATAGGATACTTTTTTATCCCACTAAATAGTTCCCTAGAGACCACGTGGACGAAACCGCTGACGGAAAGCTAGTTACATATTAATTGTAAACTTTTATATGCTGTCAATACAGAAATAAAATTTTATATTATTTTGGTGGTGTCATTAAATGGGAGTTGTATTTGTTTCAATGAGTCTTCACAGATATATAATATTTAAAATCATTACTTGTTATTATTTTCTTTCCTTATGCACATATATATTTTGGGAGTAACCACATCATGTTATTACATTTAATTACAGTAAACAAATGTTAACTACAAGCAACTAAATATATTTTAAATATTTTGAAATTTATAAATAGTGTATGGGTATTATTTAGTTTATGTTACTAATATATTAAATAATCATAATTGTAGAATCAATTTTACATTTAAAAGTATTCATGTAAGGTAGGTATTATATTTTAAACATATTTTATTATTAGAACCCTTACAAACAGTAATAAACTAAATGAAAATAACTGAACATTTCCTATGTTTTAGTTAGTCATTATTGGTACTCATCGGGGAATATAAATATTTAACTATTTAAAGCACACGAATGTATGTATATTTATATATTTATAAAGTCTGACGTGCAGCCGTGTGTACATAATAAACAACGTAAAAAGTAACAAAGATTCCTTTAATTTGGTATTTAATTCAGTTTTTTATAAGACAAAAAAATTTGGTAACACGCCACAATTTCTTGATTTGGCCAGGAGAATCACGATCGGCCCGGTTAAAAGTTTGGCAGATTGACGAGAGCAACGTGTTTGTCGATTTTTGTTGTTTAAATAAATAATTTTTATTCAAACTTCTTTTTATTATAAGAATATATGTATTTATTATTAAATTATCATTAACATAACATTACTTTTTGATACTGCTAAGCTTTATATTTTAAATCATTGTTTGCTACATTATAAACACACTGTCATAATATTTCATTGGAATCTTTTCTATTTTTGGTGAAAATAATTGTTAAAAATTAAATAGCCAAAAGCGCGCGAAAAACACTGCTCTATGTAATGGCGCTGATCGTGACGTCACAGGCCAGTAAATATGTCAAATCGATAAGTAACAACTGTCTTTAGAGTAAATTGTTTTAGAGTAAAAAGTGCGTATTTTTTACGTTTTTTATTATCCTTTGCTCTGGTTTTCTTTAAAAAATGAGCTACAAGTAGTGCGTAGTGCCACAATGTACTAATACTTCTATATATAACAAACAAACTTCGAGTCTAGAAGAAAATAGATTCACAATCACAATAGTATAGTAGCTATATAGAGTAGAGATGGGTGATAAAATTAGGTAAAGATTCGCTTAAAGTATTGAAACTTTTTTATTTCATATCGATACATTTGAAGGTTTTCTTTTTGGTTTTTTTCTTTGACATAAACATTTTACGACTCATTTATATTTGTTGACAGGGCTCGCACTTTACAGCCTGTCGACCTACAGATGGATGAGATATTAGTACGATTAAGAATGTTCTATTTTTTTTATACATGCATGTAGTATGTCTGTCCACTAAATATCTGATAATTAGATATCAGGTCCTGAGGATTTTTTTAAATTAGTTTTTAACTTGGAGAACAGTATATATCATCAAAAACGACTTTGTTATTTTGAATTAATATATTAAAGTTCAAGAAGTTGCTCTTATTTGAAATTGCTGGGGTTTTCCCTATAGTTTGGATTTTTCAAAAGTTTAGTAAATGATTCTTTCTTTCTGTATTTCTTTTTGGCAGTTCTCATCAGTAGAAGCGGCAAAGTATTTTGTTATCAGTAAATTACTATAAAGTACTCGATTCCTACAGGCATCGATATTTTATGTATCTTTCTAACACTACTTTGACATGACAGTTGATGATGTCACAGGCCAGTAAACAGAATCGTGATTGGTTGTGACGACGACCAATTATAGGACGTTTTCGTCCTTGAATAAATTCCTAAAAATATTGCATTTTCTTTACGTTATTTTACTAAATCTAAACATGTTTTTTCTGCAAATGTTAAGAAATAAGCTTTATTAGATTATTATCTATCAGGGTGACCACAAAATACAACTTATTTTCGATAGTGTCAAATACCCTCTTATTGGAAGGTGTGTCAGAAAACTAAAAAATAAAATCCTATATGAAAAGGACAATGAAAGTCGAAGATGTATGTAAGAACTATGCATAAGTACTCTGACAACTGTAATGGTAGGCTCTCCTCTCTGCTTAGTAAATAACATTTTTATGTACATTTATTTATTATGTTGGCAAAGTTATTTATATTGTTAAATAAGTACAACTATTTTCAAACATCAATCTGCAGTTGACAAGATTTCTCTTTTTGGAACCTTATTGAATGAATTATTCTTGTGAATCAATAATTCAAAGTAAGAAGCAGTAACTGAATATATCATAAACTGAAACTCGCGTCGTATGACTTTTTATAATGTGGTATTGATAACTTACAGAGTATGATGATATTAATGATATTAATAACTTACAGAGTATCGCTTACGTAGCCACCGACCCAAAGCATAATGCTGTCGTTTCCCAATGTTAGTCAGTTCGCCGAATTTCACCGGCCACAGAGATTCATTACGCCAAGGATCTGTAGGATACGTGTCCACAGGGGTTCTATCCCCATGTCTATAAATAACAGCTACGTATTTCACAGTATCTGCACATAGTGTCGCTCCAAACAAAGAAATAAAAACTAAAACTCCTACCATTTTTATAATTTAAGAATATGAATAGCTTATACCTAGAAATTTGGATTAACTATCATGAAGTTTTTCATTACAAATAATTAACAGGCCTCTGCACCACTGAATAGGCCACTGCAGCAATAGTTTATCAAAAGAAAGAAAACTTGTGAGCTATTAATTCAAAAGCAAACACACTCAACATATCATTTAAAGCAAATGACATTGACAGCTGTTTATTTTATCATTAAATAAAAGCGAGGGAATCTACTCAACGTCCCTCTACATGATATTATTTATTTACAATAATATTAAAAGTTTTACTATTTTATATGTTTATAGAAATAAAAAATTAATAAAGCTTTATTATCCAGTACCGATAATGTGATCATATTTTTACTAACCAATTACTGGACCGATTAGAAAAATCATAATCGGGTGATATTTACGTGGGAGAAGTCGCGGGAAAACAGCTATCATTTAATAATTTAATAGTGTAACTGAAATAAATGTATAATTAAGTTTAATTTATGTTTAGATGCATAATAATTTCATTACATTTGAGTTAACCCATATATGCGCAGAACTATTTTTAGCACCGATTTTTACGATTTTCACACAAGCTATTCCTTTCTGACCACAAACAACGGATGTAATGCTAATTTTTATTTTTTTGTGCTGGAAGAAGGTTTTTTTTAATGGGTCGTAAACGACCCCTTGCGTATATATGGTCGTACACTAGTATGGCGCAGAAATAAATTAAAACAAAACTTTATGCTATCGAAAATCATTATTTATTGTTAAGTCTTTAGGTTCAATCAGTCTCAATTTTATATAATCAAATCCAATTATAATAATGCAATAAAATAATAATCATTTACGAATGGAATTGTCCAAAACATTTTTCGTGCAGATTTACACCACACTTGGCGCACATTTTAATTGTTTTATTTGTACACAGCGCACATCTTTTTCTGCTGTCTGAATAATATGCTGAGCAGCATGCTTTCTCACAGAAAGAGGTACTCCTGTTCTCACTTGCCGCTGCAGTCCTGGATGAGATGGCGAAATTCCATATTTCTTGAGTAAAGTTCTTGCAATAGATCGACGAAAGTTCAGTGTATCAACGTTTGCTCCATACGATCTAGCAAGCAATGTAGCATTATTGACAGCGACATCAATTAGCCACATCAAAATGGGAATATACCATTTTTTTCCTCTCATAGCAATCCGGTACACTCCGACATTAGCATCCAGTCTATCTACGCCTCCCATAAATTGATTGTATTGATGTATGAGATTTGGTTGGTCAATATCAATTTTCTGTTTAGCAGCCACTGAATATCGGCGTGCTTTTTGAATTGGGTTTATTCCAAATTCATTAGACAAGAGAGTAACAACGCTATTGTCATTCCATCGTACGGCGTAGATTCTGTCTTTCATATCTAGCCTGTAGTCATAAAAACCTCTGGGCTGTTTTTTGCATGACTTGACATCCATTAGTGGGCACTTGTCCACCCTGTTTTGACGAACTGTTCCAGTAACTTTCACGTTGTTTTCTTGTAGCGAACTTAGCAATCCAGGTGATGTAAAAAAATTATCACAATATACAGAAAACTGTGTGTCTGGGTATTCTTTTTTCACCAAATTTGTCAGTTTGGTAACAACGTGTTCTCCTAGACTAGTTTCTCGTGTTTCAGATCGTCCCTCATATAAATCAGCTTGCAAACAATATCCCAAACGTGTAGCTGCAACCCATGCTTTAAATCCAAATCTTATAGGCTTACCATGTATATGTTGTTTACAACCATGGCGCCCATAATATGGTATCATAGATTCGTCAATACTAAATTTTTTTTCGATGGGAGCGTACAAGAGAAACTTCTCATTTATCATTTTGAACAACGGCCGAATTTTCGCCATTTTATCACCACTGCCTAGGTTGTTGTTATCAGCGACATGCAAATATCTAAAAATTTCTTCAAAACGTTTAGATCGCATTGATTTGGCAACTAAAACATTATGAGTATCTTCATTGGCCCTCCCAGTACATGCGACGTCGTGGTAGAGGCGCATAACCACTGAGAATCAAAATACCCAAAAAACAGTAAATTTCATCCCCCAAAGAGTGAAACTCATATTATGTTTTTCAACTGCGTATATTACTGTGTGTCTGACTATGTATCTTATAATATCTTCATTGAAAAACAATTCAAAAAATTCTATAGCTTCACTATCTTTATTGAGAGTGAGCACCACTCGTGGGGGTGGAGAGGACCAATCAACTTGTTGAGGAATGAAATCCCTTTTTACCCACTTACGTGGTCTAATGATTCTCTGTCCTCTACCTCGCATTGATTGAGTACGAGAATCATCATCAATCGTAGTAGATGGCTCAATTGAGGAAGAATCTTCATCATGATGGTGACACCGTGACCTACGTGTTGTGGTTGATCTTGGAGGAGTACAGTTGCCGACAGTGGAAGAAGTTGTACCACTGACCTCATTAGTAGTTGTGTCGTCATCATCACAGTCACGCCTGTAACATAATCATTTCGGCAGAGGCAAGCAATTGATTTCGATTCAACCTGTTTATATCGTCACAGTCCTCTTCTCCAGAATCGCCATCTGACACCAAACCGTCGCCAGGAGGGTCCATGTAAACTTCGATGCCCTGGACATGTTCATCGGGATCTAATTCCTCCAGGACTTCTATTATTTCATTTGTAGTTAGCACTCGCCAAGACCTAAAAATAAATAATTCTATGTATGCTATATGCTCAAGGGGTCGTTTTCGACCCAACATAATGTTGCGATCGATTACAATAATAAAAAATATTCTTAGTACTAATCACTTTATAATAATCGCTAACACACATATTGAACTAATTATAAAACAATTAAGATCAAGGAATAACAAAGTAAATGCATGATATACTTACATTTTTATAGCTTCATTCAATTTTTTTTCAGACAATTAACCGAGTTCGTTTTTGCATTTCGAATTCACAAATAAAAAGAAGAAACTTCACAATGGTGCTTTTTATACGTAAACATAGTTCTCTAAACTAGTAATAGATGGCGATAAAACATAAAATAGAGAAGATGCTCACGAGCTGGGCTCATTATAAAGGAGTTACTACCACAGACACGAAAACGACCCAATACGCATATATGGGTTAAAATAGGAAAAAATTGGACCGCTGGACCTGAAAATTCAGTGTAGTGCACAAGCGTCCTGACTTCTGGCGGTCTCTGCAAACACGACCGGTCCGTCGCTCTCTCACTCAGTCTTTCGCAACAGTTCGTTCAATCTCCACGGTAGTTCGGACCTTCGGCTTCGGTCGGGTTTTGGGCCGAAACCGAAGGTTTCGCCGAAGATGGTTTTTTGACCGAAAGTGGCCGATGTCGAAGCCGAAGCCGAAGTATTTAAAAATCTCAATTACTGAATAAAAAACATTTATCAACTAACCATGTTTTCAAACTAGATTTATATAATTTTGTAGCAACAATTTTAGTTCACCCAGTAGTAATAAAGATATTTATATATTATTAAATATCTTTATTGATATCACATATGAATTTCTTTTATAATAGTCGGTTCTAATAAAGGTCAAATGTAATTTATTAGGAAATCTTAAGTTAAAATTACAAATATCTTTTTTGTTACATACAGTTACTAAGTCAAACAAACAAACACACCAGTTTTACATACACAGTAGCGTCATAAAGCGAAATCAGCTAATTGTAGCATTTTATTATTTTGCCACATTAACAATTCCCCATTAAATTATGACTTGGATGGAACTAATAATTGAATAAAAAATATTATTGAGAGATTTCTTCAAACTATTTATTCGTTACCAGGCACTACACAGAAGGAAGTATACAAAGACTAAACTAAACATAGATACCACTATATTATAAATTTATATACTCTTTCCAATACTCCCACTTAAATTTATAAAACAGATCTCCTATCATTAACAAAAACTTAACACATAGAACATTAAATAAACAATAACTCTCTAACCACCATCAAGTTCACATTTAAAATCATCTTAGTTTCTAAACCATTAATCAATTTTCATAACTTTATCTCTTATAGACTCAAACCTTTTAACTGGCAGGGCCTTAGTCAAGAAGTCAGCTAGTTGACATGAACTTTCAACATATTTAATTAGTATTATCTTGTTCTCGACTTTTTCTCTAATGAAGTTATACCTTATGTCAATGTGTTTGCTTCGCTTATGGAAAACAGGATTATTAATCAACTTGATAGCACTTTGATTATCTACGTGTAGAGTAATACAATATTGTGGTTCACCTATGTCTATCAAAAACTGCTTTAACCATAATATTTCCTTAGCTGCCTCGCTAGCAGCCATATATTCCGACACTGTAGTCGATAAAGCTACTGTATTCTGTTTGCGACTGGACCAAGTAACGGGTCCGCCATTCATCAAAAATATGTACCCAGTTGTTGACTTTTTAGTATCCAAATCACTTGCAAAGTCAGCATCTGAGTAACCTACCAGTTCAGACTTATCATTATATACAATTGACACATCTTTAGTATTTTTTAAATAACGTAATATTCTTTTTACAGCAGTAATATGTATAGAACCAGGATTATTTACATATCTACTGACAAGATTCACCGCATATGCGATATCCGGCCTAGTTGCCGTTGACAAAAATAACAACGCTCCCACTGCCTCTCGGTATGGGAAACTTTGCGGCAACTGATTCGTACTGTTAGCTGTACATTTACATCTACAGGTGTACTACTGCCATTAGCGTCAGCCATATTAAACCTATTTAATATTGTGTCTATGTAATGTTTTTGACTAATAATTATACCTTCTTTCTTTTTATCTATTTCTAAACCGATAAAGGAGTTACACTTCAATATTTTAATCTTAAAGTTTTGTTGCAAGTCATTTAGTACTACAGATAAAATATCCTTACTTTTAGACAGCAATAATCCGTCATCTACATAAAGGATTAAAATCACCTTGTAATTGTTGAAATATCCTACAAACATACAGTGGTCAGATTGACATGACTTAAATCCATATGTAGTGAGAAAAGAACAAAACTTTTTGTTCCAACATCTAGAAGATTGCTTAAGACCGTATAGAGATTTGACCAACTTACATACTTTGTTATCCGCTGCTTCAACTTCCTCTGGTATCTCCATATATATATCCTCCAGGAGCTCTCCATATAAGAAGGCGGTCTTCACGTCAAATTGCTCTATTTGAAAACCTTCTCTGGCAGCTATACTAAGCAATAATCTAATGGAATCATACCTTGTTGTAGGTGAAAAAGTGTCTTCATAATCCAGACCTCTTACTTGAGTAAAACCCCGAGCACACAACCTTGCTTTGTACCTTTCTATTTCGCCTCTTACATTTTTCTTTATACAGAAAACCCATTTGCTTGTTATAGGCTTCTTGTCTGTTCTGTCAGTTATTATCCACGTATCATTTTCTTCTAGAGACTGAAGTTCCTCATTGATAGCTTTCTTCCATTCATCAGAATTTACACTATTTACAGCTTCTTGGTATGTATTTGGCACCTCCAACTCCGTTAAATTAGCCTCCAAAATTTTATTACGTCGTGGACGTAGTGTCATATAAGTACGTTCTTCAGTATCGTTCACAACTACGTACAGAGGATCATTTGATTCGTCATTGTCATTTACATTTCTACTATATTCATTAGAGGAATCTTTTTGAGTAATATTTTCATCTTGTTTTTCATCTTTTTTATCTAGTGTCATTTGAAGATAATTTACTCTCTTTTCAGGTATACTTTGCTCATCAAACTTAACATCTCTTGATACAGTTATTTTCTTAGTATTTTGGTCATACATTCTATAGTTTTCATGTTCATATCCAACTAAAATCATTTTATTACTTTTCTTATCTAACTTTCTTCTTTTCTCTTTTGGAATGTGAACATATCCTATGGAACCAAATACTCGAACATGTGTCATATTCGGTTTTTCACCACTCCAAAGTTCATAAGGTGACACATCCACTGTTTGACTTGAAAAGTTTCTATTTAACAGATAAACTGCACAATTAACAGCTTCAGCCCATAATTTTAATGGTAAATCTTTAGCATATAACATGGACCTTGCGCTTTCCATTATTGTACGCAACTCTCTTTCCGCTCGTCCGTTTTGCTGTGGGGTATAGGGAGCCGTGCATTCATGACTTATCCCTTTACTATCCAGAAATAACTTAAACTCTGTGTTTACGTACTCTCTGCCGTTATCTGTATGTAAAATACGAACATCATGTTGAAATCTGTTTCTCACCATAGCATTATATTTTATGAAACAATCAAGTACTTCATTCTTATGTCTCATGAAAAATATTTGCCGATAGCTCGTTGCTCCATCTTTAAATAACACAAAATACTTCATTCCTGTGACAGATGGTTCTTCAATGGGACCACAAACATCGCTATAAACGATATCACCAGGTTGTGTAGGGCTTCTTTGTGATTTCATAAATGGTAATCTAGCTTGCTTACCATATTGACAAGCTTCACAAATAAAATTCTCATTGCCAGTTAAAGTAACAGGAAGTGCTCCATTTTTACTCATTTTCTTAAGTTCATTTACATTTAAATGACATAACCTCTCATGCCACACTTTGATGTCTGTTTCTACTACATTACAGTTTTCTTGAATAATAGTCTTAATCTGTAACTCATAAAGATTATTTTCTTTTAATTGAGCACACATTATAACGACTTTGTTTTTCATTATCAATGCATTCTTATTATTCTTTGTAATTACATAACCTTTTCTAGTAACAGCTCCTTCTGAAAATAAATTTCTTCTCAACTCGGGTACATAGAGAACATCCTTCAATATACATCTTTCTCACTGTCCTTCTACTAATCTATTAATCAATACAGAACCTTTTCCATGTACAGTAATATTCTGTTTATTTCCAAGCTTAACATTTCCATATTTAGAACAATCGTATTCTTCTAATTCAGAAAAAAATTCTCGTCTATATGTCATGTGAACTGACGCACCGCTGTCTAATATCCAAACGTCTTCTTGGACATATGATAAACTTTTTTCTGCGGTAAGTGCCAGCATGTCATTTGACTTCTGGTTTTTATGATATGATCTCTTTGGTTTTCTACACTCTTTGGCAAAGTGTCAATAAAAGAATTGCAATTATAGCATACAAATCGATGAGTTAAATGATTTGTATCAACGCTTTGATTTGCGCTAAATTTTCTAGGCTTCTCATTACCTTTAGTAGTCACCAGAGCAGTCTCACTTGTTGTCTCAGTAGCTAAGCTCGCTTCCTCGTCTATCAAGCATGAGGTTAAATTTTGAAGAGTTTGGCTTTTAGAATCTAACGATAACCATGCTTGTCGAAGAGAACGATATGATGTTGGCAAAGTGCTCAGTATTTTAGTTATCACTGCCATATCACTTAGCTTTTCTCCAGCCTCTCTTAGCTGTTTTGCCAAATTTTCTACTTTTGAGACGTGTTGCGCCATTGAGTCACTATTACAATAGGTATACTGGTAGAACTTTTCATGGACCATTATCTTATTGAATTCTGATTTATGCTCATAGATGGCTTCCAGTTTACTCATTACTTCTTTCGCAGTTTCGCAGTTTTCCATAAGGGAGATCTGATTCAGATCCATTGACGATGTTAATATAAACATTGCCATACCATCATCCTTGTTCCATTGCACTTGCTTACTGCTTTCTGTTGGTTTTTCGGCATAAATATTCAAACCTTTTGCTCTCAGAGCACACTTAATTTGAAATTTCCATTGTTGAAAATTTCTTCCATCGAACTTTTCAATTTTCATTGAGTTCGAAACCTCCATTTTAAATCTGTTTCAATCTCTCGAATCGAAATTTTCTGTTAGCCGAATCTTTGCCTTTTCCGAAATTCTACTCTGCTCTTAGCTCAAAATGTCTTATTTTCAATTTTCAGCGATTCCTGGGCCCATAACCACTTGGATGGAACTAATAATTGAATAAAAAATATTATTGAGAGATTTCTTCAAACTATTTATTCGTTACCAGGCACTACACAGAAGGAAGTATACAAAGACTAAACTAAACATAGATACCACTATATTATAAAATATACTCTTTCCAATATTATGTTATAGAAAATACCGTGAAATTAAAAAATAAGTTACTTTGTTTGATAAAAATCGGAAAAATTCACAAAAATAAAAATATATTTTTCAAGATAAGATATAAGATGGCTGTCGCGGATTTTTTTTATAACTTTTAAAGAGGATCATTTTCATAATACATAATTTTTCACCGTTTACACAGAGAACACAAGGAAAGCTTTAAAAAAAGTAAATATTATCCTGTTTTTCATTGCTGCTCCACTCCTATAAGTCATAGCGTGATGTTATATAGCCTATAGCCTCTTTCGATAAGTGGACCATTCAGCACAAAAACAATAACTAGTAGTTTCTAAGATTTTAGAGTTCAATCAAACAAACAAACTCTTCGGTTTTATTAAGGAATAAATATATTGTTTTGTAATTGATAGCGAAGTGTGCTGATTGCTGAAACACTTGAATTTCCCACTGACACAGTCGTATCTTTGTAAATATACCTACTTCAAATTACAACACAACGAGATAGAAGTTATTGTGACGAACACGGTCACATCATATCTAATTAGTTAACAACCTGCAAAGTTACAAAAATACTGAAATTGGCAAACAAAATGTATCTAAAGGTAAGTTCACAGAACAATCACAATGATGAGAGCAAATACGCTTAATTGACTCATAACACCAATTCACATACTTATACGCAATAAATATAAAGATGAAGTTTTCGCGTTCGAGTTTCAGAGTTTCTTTATAAAAATGAAAATAATTATAATTTATTTGCATAGAAAGCTGTTTTCATTAAATTAATATACTTAAATTACAATTCTACCGTTACAAATGTCAATATTTACACAAATAAGTTTAAGAAACAAAGAGTTGTACTATACTTCTTATTATTACGTGAAAACTATAATAATACTGGGAAAACTATCTACCTACTTCTTTATACACTTATACTATATTAAATTATTAGAACAAATTATTTTAATATCATATTATTCTTGAGTACATATCTATTCAATTCAATGTCAACCAAACCGAAGTCAATCTAATAACGTGGTAGGGCTACTGTTGCTATATCAAAAGCCAACTATGCTTCAACGTGTCCTTTTCAGGACAGGGTGCTTAAAGAGACCTGGTCTAAGTCTTAAGCTCCGTTTCCCCTGCGTTATCAAAGAAACGTGCTGATGCTCCGGTCGAGCGTAATGTCCGATTTATGTACAATAAGCTGTGGATGACAAAGGCAGTGAGACGGAACAGTGAACAAGTCAAGACGTGTAAATTGCACGAGACAGTAGCTCGTCAACTTGACCACCAAGTTATCTGACAGTGGATCCGGATAGACAGCATTTCTATTATTCGAGCAATTGATCCTTTCACGTTCGGCTTACTTGCCACTGCGCCAGTCTAAATGGTTAAAGATAGAATCACAAATGAATTGACTACGACCGGCGCATGTTAACGAGTAAATAAAATTAATTACTAGTATTCTTATGGAGCGCAATGGAGAGAGCAAAGCTTGGTGTTTCTTTACGAGATCGCATTAGAAACGAAGAAATTGTAGGAGAACTAACGTTACAGACATTGCTCGAAAAAATGCTGAGATGAACTGGTAGTGGGCAGGACACGTAGTTAGAAGTTGGGGCGGAAAAGTTTTAGAATGGCGACCGCGTACGCGGACGGCTCGCCATCAGGTGGACCCACGATCTCATAAAGGTTGCAAGAAATCGCTGGATGCGGCAATCCGCTAGATGCGGGCAGCGCAGAAACAATCGTCTTAGAGATCAATGGGGAAGACTATCTATGCTCAGCAGTGGGCGTCGTACGGCTGTTGATGATGATAATTTTTATGGAATTCTGATATTCTTTCGTATCTTTAGCAGCAATTCTTTGAGCAACAAATTACCTACTAGCGCAGAGTAGCTCTTTGTGCAATCCATTTACGTTCGTAGTCTTTTTGGTTAATGTATTAAATCCGTTGCAAGTCGTGCGAGCGTTGCGGCCACTGCGTGCCTGTGGATGTTGACCATTAGAGACAATAAATTTTTTGAAGTAACAGGAAAGTATTAAAAATTATATAACAATCAATTCTTGTGATCTCTAATCTCTTATCACAGAGTACACACAGAGATGGTTATTTTATTAAAAATAATTTCTGTTACGTTTCGGTGTGAGTTGCCCCTAATACTTTCAAAAATATGCTAAAATATTAGGCAAATCGTGAGTATATCAAAGCATATATGCATTGTTGTGTAATTCAATAAAGAGGTTAATATTTGACTTTTATGAGTAGCTTGTTTAGTTGACGAAATTATTGAAACTTTTTATATTTGTTTGTTTTACAAATATTTATTTAGGAAAGCTGGTGGGGCCTAACATTGAGATATAAAAAATCGGCCAAATGTGAGTCGGATTCACGAAGGGTTCCGTAGCATTATACATTAATAAAGTTTAAAAAAATCACGTTTTTTTTTGTTTTCTATTTAGTTGTTCGAAATTTTCGAGTTAAATACGGATCATCGACTATTACTCGTAAAATTGTAAAGCTAACTAAAGTGTGATAGTTTTGATTTTAACTTCATTATATATAAGTACTATTGCCGTATGTATAATGCTACGGAACCCGTCGTTTGAATTTTTAACAACGACAATTTAGTTCGTATTCAGAGCGGGTACTTGACTCTAACGAAAACTAAATCGTAAAACGGCCTGATTTTGAAAGACCATTCCAACGAAGTCCCACACTTTAGAGAAGACGAGAAAAACATCTCCACTTTATAGGTAGTACCGTAAAAAATATTTCAAAACTTTACTATCCTACTTTGTTGGAGTAATAAACGTGTATTCTCATGCCAAATTACAACTTTCTAGTACCAATAGTTTTTGAGCTACACCGCGGACGGACGGACATGGCGGTACTATAAGGGATCCTTGTTTACTACGGAACCCTAAAAATGTATTTTTACTATACAGTCTTATGTCACCACGGAATTGCATTTGAATGTAATATAGCTGAGTTTTTATACCAAACCTTTTGAAACAGTGAAAAAGCGCACATCCAAAGGATATTTATGAAAAGACAGTAATAGTAAGAAAATATTATAGACATCCCACAATTGTGCCAAAAAGGTATCAATATCAATTTAAGCATATATCGATCTCTTTCTCTTCTTAAAGTGTAAAAAGAGACGACGTGAGATAATTTCGGCTAGACCCCGTTCAACTCTGATCCAAGGATTAAAAAAATTTCTTCGCATATAAAATGCGAAAAAAATCAAACTTTTTTTTTAATAAAGTTTATTTACATTTAACTAAAATATGTAGGTACCATTTTGTTCGATAACTTTTTGCCATACCTGGCGGTAACAGCTCATAATGAATAATTCCCGTCTACTCCCATGGTGGGACACTGCATCACCTTGTTGCGATTTAACCAGGGTTTCGCCACAGTTTGTCTGACCCATCTTTGCCCACGACCTTTTTCGCACGTTTTTGCCATACGGGATTAACATTTTATCACCAGCCATCGGCTTCTTCAAAAATGGTTCGGTTTCATTACGCTCTAATTAAGATAAGAATCACAAATCGAAAAGGTACACGATTCATTAAGTTTCTCTCAGTGAGCTCGCGAGGTACCCAAATATCCTACTTTTTTGTGCACCCAGCTATTGTCAGAAAGCGAAAACTGATTTGTGGTCAATCCCTAGTTCTTTAGCTACGTTGTTAACTACCGACATGCCGATCTTGCCATAAACGTCACAATATTTCTCGTGGCTTGCGTTCCATTTTATCTTTTTGTAATAAAATTTTAAAATGTATCGAATTTCTTCATTAGATTCACTCATTTTGACAGTAAGAAAAACAAATGAAACTGACACGTTTTTTATTTTGAATTCGGTATCTTCACATACCATTTGTATCTGGCTTGAATCTTCAGCCAGATACAAATGGTATAGCCAGAAATATTTTATTACAATTTATGCATACTATATGCGAAAAGACTTTCCCCTAACGTAACCGCCACCCGACGTATGACTAATAAAACACCACCACCTTATCTATAGATCCCACACAACACAATGGTGCGAATTTGCACCACTCTCTAAACTAAAAAATATTAATTTAATTTGAGTTTGCTTTAATGTTGTACCGCTGTCACATGTAAGCTAAGAAATATTACGTGCTGATATTGTATGTTACGACGGCACTGTGAATATAGAAATTAATAATAATCTTTGCTTACATACTGTGAGCTGGCTTCAGCTAGCTTGTTTGATAGTTACCTAATGCGTAGCCTAATGGGTCTAATTGGTAGTATTCTCACCTCAACTCACCTATGACCTAAGAGTCAATGAAAGCTACTATAGTGTGTCATTTGATACCTCCACAGACGTCCCACTCCGCTGCAGTTGACAAACATTATCAAAGAACTATGTACTTTTTTTTTTAAATAAATATAAAAAGTATCAATATCCCAAATAGCATGTGAATGAATATATTAAATTATTAAGTTAATCTTTATAAATAAAGGAAAACACCTGATACACAGATGTTGTTATTGACACGATATGACCTTAAAAGGTAGGCCAGTTTTTGATAAACATTACATGGGAGTTGAAAAGCGTAGGTAATCTATATTCCGACCTTCCTACATTTCTTCCGTAGAGAGGTTTTGTTATTGGTATGAAGGTGAGCTTGTTGAAACTCAATGTAATTAGTTTATTTTCTGATTTTCCGATGCATTTATGTTTGTGAAGTAACCTTTCATACTTTAAGTTTCATTTACCCCAAATTTGATATTCCAAAACCAGTCTGAACGGAAACGACCGAAAGAATGATATATTAATTTAAAAGAGTATTGTTGTGAACTTTTTGTGTGTTCATGTGATTGTACAATTTATGTATAAATTGAAGGGTTCGTTACTGTAACTAATATTCTGGTTTTTTCTCTCTCTTTCTCTTTAAACATCTAACATCGTAGGAAAAGAAAAAAGACGTCTGTGAATACGTAGATACTTATGATACCCCACTGTACCGAAGGTTGATATCCGTTTTTTGTCAATATTACTGTTCGTTTACTACTACTACTATTGTAATTATTAAGTTATTAATATTAAAACGAAGAATAACTTCTTAGAAAAATATCGTCACATAACCCAAATGGGATTGAAGACCTAACCCAAGTCAGGCGAATTGCAAAAGGTGTTATACTTGTTCCAATGACCTTCAATATTGGTTTACTAAAATTACCTATAGTATGGTGATCAAGCGTTGCGTGGGTGCTTCGCGCAAGCGTCTTGTAACTTTAGGTTTTTCTTTATAGATAATGTATAAAAGTAACATCAATTTATAATTTATTTGATGAAAAATATTCAAAATGCAGTCATCTGGTTGTGATTACGTCTCGGGCAACAAAGATGGTTGACATTTTTTAATTTTTTTATAAAATCAATAGATAAATCTAGCCATAAATGTTGTTAAGCCTGTTTATACTTTTTTTTATAAAAAAGCTTATGTATCTCGTAGGTGTTGCTTTCCATAATTACAAAATTCCTATAATTATATCATCAGATTATCTGATATTATCTTGGACCTTATTCCTTGGAGACAAATCTAATGATCTCAAACTCGTTGGGATTGTTTTGTATAATTTAATTATCAAAGTTGCCCCAGCATTCAAATGTATACTAAATTTCAAATTAATCGAAAATCAGGAAGCGTGTCATGGAAATCTAGGAATAACCCACGCTAACCAACATTAAGTTAAATAAAAGCTAACGAAAGGAATTTAAAGCATAATAATTGTGGGTTACGTGAACAACGGTACATCTCCATACAAACGACATCAACGCTTAATTTCTGTTGCACGATAATATCAAACATAATCTCACGTTTTCATCTGACATCATGTTACTTGAATTCTAAAAACTTATAATTTAAGTTAGCATGGGTTAATCTGGTTGTCACAAAATGTATGCATATATCAAAATGTATTCTTAAATTAAAGACGGTGGTGTAGGTGCTTAATTGTTTTTTTTAAAGTGGTGTGTGTATCTATCACACATATATATATTTTTCAAAAATACACTGCCGGCCCCTTAAACTGAACGTGCTGTTATTTGAGTTCATTCACATCATTAGTCGTGGTGGGTGACGTCTTTACTGTACTTACCACGATTTTCGCGTTATATACTGAGCCAAAGTAAACTGCTTTAATTATTTTGAATATATATTAACATAATAATAAGAACAATTTTACTATATTTGCAGATTGGTTCAAATTTAATAAGTGGACAAGACAAACAAGCTAATATTTACAATTATTATTTAAAATGGTTTTGTATGTAGATTAGATTTGAAAAGTAGTAAGCAATAACAATCTACCCACGCATAATCTTAAATAACCTACAAAAACATGGTTTTGTAATAAGTAACCGATTACTGATTATTATTTCGTATATAAATATATGGTTTTAGGAGAATAAGTCCTTTGAATCATAAGGAAAATTATTCTATTGAATACTAAATTTATTTGATTCCCAATCAATAGAATATTGCTCAACATAATGCTACGGTCGTTTTCATTGTGATCTCATTTTTCATTATTCGAGTTCTAGTTAATAATACTACAAAACAATTAACACCATCCTTTACACTGATTTTATTTTCGAAATGTTTGCTCAGATATAAAACCTGTTATACATCATTCGTTTTGTGTAAGTAAACAAGCGTTGTCTTACATCAAGATACTGAATCACTTGGTGCCAAGATACATCGGCTGAACCAGTCTTGCAGTCGATCGAATACATGAATGCAAGGCTAATTGTCGATGCAAATTTGTTTTATTCATTCCAAACTGAGTTAATGAAATATTTTCTATTCTGTGATTTTTTTAGTTAATTTATTTTTATTTTTAAAAGATATCACGACTACAAACCAAATAAATTAAAAATGGCATAACATGCATTCATATTCTAAACGCAAACCATGGAATATACCTACTCGTATATAGATAAAGTAGGTATGTTAAAAAAATCTTCTGGAAATGACATTTATTTTTTATATATACATCGTATAATGTATATGTATGACCTGAGATACATATATATTATACAATGATTATATACATACATTTACTCCCGCGGCTTCGCTCGCGTGGTCCCTAGGGAACTGTTTATTTGGATATGTATTCATATCATGACACAGATATAATTATAATGACAAATTGAATAGTAAACAATCGTTACTATAGTAACTGTTTAATTCCCATTTTCATTCCTTTATTTGTTATTATTCGGGGCCTATAATATAACTTATGTTTACCGCATATGATGTGATTTCCCGTAGGTGAAAGAATTTTTAAAATCGACGTAGTTGTTTCGGAGCATATTCGTTACAAACAAATAAACAACCAAATCTTTCCTCTTTATATTATTAGTATGGAGAGTGATAGATTCATATGTAATACCAGGCGATTAAAGCCGTTGGCGGAAAGCTAGTATCTAATAAATTACAGATTAATGTATTTTTCATATTCTGCCAAAGCTGATACCTACTTTAAAATCATAAGTATTTTTTTGTTGCTCAGAATAGTTCTCTCTGTCTGGTTGACTGGTCTCGCAATTCCGTCTCAACTTTATGTCAGCACTAGGTTCCAAGTGAACTATACCGGTCTCAGAATTAAATTATGCGTCAAAGGTCAACAAAATTAATTTCTAACACCCTGCACCCTGTCTGACCTGTCTTTCTGATGTTTGACGAACAGTTTGTATGAGAAAATCTTGGGGGAAAATTTGGTTGCTAGTTTTAATGTTTTCCTTGCAATTTCTTCTATATTTTCATAATAGCATAGTGTTATTAACAAACGTATTTTTTTTTGATGCGATTAAGGGCATGCTGTAAGCACTATACGAATCGAAATCAGAACAGGATTTACTCAGTTTCATCGCCAATTGACCATAGATAGCTAAGTATACTGTGTGAGGCACGTGGCGCATGCGGCATACCAAATTTAACAGTAGTGCTGCCCTGGAATACTGATTTCTATTCTTAACACTCACGGCATAATGTAAAAATAAACAAAATTTTGCCTATCGATTAAAAGGTGATCGCATATTTTTTTTTCAGTAAATATTACTAATATATAGTCACTAATATTTGCTTTCATAAATTGGATTACAAATGATGGTCGTAGGATTTTAAAATAATTTTCAGAAATCTATGTTTAATTTAAATATGTACATCTTATATACTTTAATTTTGAATGTTACAGTGAACCACAACTGAATTTTGTTAGCATTTCTGTATGCTTTTTTAGTGTTTTTCTTAGATCAGTTTACGTGCCATATCTAATAAGTCCCATATATTATACTTTATTGGATTTATTAGATTTAATTTACATAACCTGAAGTATTTGAAAGATATTCATAACTAGCTGGATTATGCCGAAATATGTTATAAACGTAGTCAATACATCGACAAAAATGTTTATAAAATTAAAAGTCAACATTAACATTATAAAGATAACCATTAATTTAACCACAGAATTTTATGTTTTGTTAATTTAACAATGAGTAGTTTTGAATCACCCAATAAATCAAAATCTAGTGTTATCGTTGGATTGTGACAGCCTTTTTACTTTGTGAGAACAAAAAAGAAGTAAGAGTAAAGTTTAAAATGCTGCACATGTCACAGATGATTACTATGAAATAAATTAGCACTGTCGAAAAATATTCAGGCATACTATGGAACATCAACAAAACCGGTTTCTATATTTAATGTTAGAAGTTCATTAACGAACATAGTACTTTCTAACTTCTTAACGTTTTTCAGACAACAAACTTACTTCACGGTAAAAACGGTGTCAATGGTGTCAGTTTAACGTTATTGCTTCCTTAAAATAGCACCAACAATTCATAATTCTTTGTGTATGAGTAAACAAATATCATTAGGAATTAATTTAATTCAATCTTTTTGTGCAATATTTCAAAACAAATTCAACCTACTTATGTAACTGTTTCTTCTTTATTTTTAATAGAAACAAACAAAAAGTTTGTCTTACTCATAAAGAGTCTTTATTTCTGGGGCTGGTCATTTGCCTCCATCACTAGCAAGCTCGATGCAGGGGAGATAGGCGTCGCTGTTCGTTGCAATCGAATATAGCAAACTTAGTGAAGGCGGCTGCGTCGACCTGCCAGATCAAGTGCGACCGCAGTGCGCAGTGGACCTGCTTCGGAACACATCTCGGAGAAAGGCATCAGCGACACCGGCTACACGACATCACGATGAAGATCCTTTCAATGTGAGTGAATCTATTTTATTAAATCATTAATTAGCACCAAAGCTGCGCGAACGCACTGCGACCTATGAATTCATTAGGGTAATTTATAAATATTATAAAAGACGGTAGTTATAATTACATGTCGGAATTAATAACCTCGCAAGGCGATTTAGTTTACAGGACTTTCAATTTCAAATTGCTACATTCTAATACTTAATTATGTTTCTTGGGCGGGGACAGTGTTACGAAATGAATAGTTGTGCCGATGCAGACGGTTGTGGGTACAATATTATAATACAAAATTAGGAAGTGAATCTATGAATTCAGTTGTGGAGGTAACTTGATTGCATGTTATCACTAATATGATTTGTTTTGTTTGTTATTATAAATAGATTTTCTTAATAGAAAAATCCAAGCTTACCAACTACAAATTCTTTCAATTAAAATTTAAGTTATTAATGATGATTTAATTTTTTGGCTTAGATAAAATAAATAATTACAAAAATCTGCGTAATATTAAATTCGCTTGAATCATTTTTAAAGACACGTTTTTTATGACTACCTTCTTCTATTACTAAATATTATTAAATGGAAAGTTACTGTGTTCTAAAGCGAAATTATTATTTTTCAATACTATTTTACTTCTAAATTTCAAGGATATCAAGGATTAATAATCGTGAAAAAAAACATTAATTTATCAATCTTTTAGATATATTTGCCAGAAACAATAATAAATAACTGACTACCCTTAAAATAAATATTATGTTGACGAGCCTTTATTCATAAATCTTGTACGAGCAACAATGATTACGCCGATACTCAGTTCCTCACTCCGTCATTAGATTAGTATGTGATTGTCGATTTGGCTACGCGAAAAAAAATTATGGCGCCTACCGATTTCGGATTATATAATGTGTTGACTTATAAACCTCATTAGATTATAGATACTGAGGCTTGACCCAGTGTAGCAAACCAATTAATTTTCAAATTAATTGAACGTGAACAAGAACCGGTCTACGGGTTGGTTCTACATTGAAAGTTAGCCAGCCTACGATTAAGCAACAATACATCATGCAAGAAGAATAGACAGTCCGAGCCAAAACTTAAATCTCCGCTGATCCGAGTTAGTGGCTCTATAGATATACTCAATGAACATAAGTAGATGCGCGCACCTCTCGTCTAACTTATTGCATCAAGCAAATATTGAGCTTTACAAAATGTTCAGTCACTAACAATTAATTAATCGTGTTTTAAACCGTTGTAACTTTAGTTGAACTCGAAAATCTAAATTTATTTGAAGGTAGATCACGCGGTTATAATTAGTGTTAATAAATTAATAATATGACTGACATTTACCTTTTTATTAAGCTTATTGTTTTATAAAAAGCCTATTCCTATTAAATGCAAACAAATGAGCAATAAAAAACTTTGGTGCAGCTTTTCATCAGTCACCGTGAACATTAAACCAAATCTTAAGAATAGTTACACAAGTTGAACACTCAAAAACTGGCACAAGACTTTTAACCTTGAGCTTCTTCTTGTTTAATAAAAGTTCTGCTTAACTATTACGATGCAACAGAAGGCCGTCATTTAGAATTTAAGCAGATTTAATGAAAAAGTAAATAATCCCGGTTTTTTTATTAGCTAACAATTAAGTAGCAAGTATGGAGACCGGACTATAACTACCCATCCGTCTTTACATTCCTTCCGAAGCTTGGAGGGCGTCAAAATAATAAATATTTGGTTCACTCATCCTATGACCGGCCATCGCCAAAATAATCTTAAAATTCGCATCGCAGAAGGAACTTGAAATTGCGACATCGACTTTTCAAATGAATGAACAACCAGCATTAATTTTTTAAGTCAATTAAGTGTATAGTGTATATAATGAAATTTGATGATAATATGAACAAACGATAACCGAATAAAAATTAAGCACATCAAAGGCTAATGCAACCTTTTAAAGTTTCCATTGATTTCGGGTTTCGGTTGTAGGCATCATATCATATGATTAAAACCAGTAATCGGCAGTTTATAATGAATGCAACTTAACAGTTCACCTCAATAATTAAGTTTACTAAAATGAAGTTTCTTATAGATATAATTTTATCATCTTATAACTTCAAAATCCATCTATTGATAATTCTTAATTTTTTTATTCTATATTATAAATACACGGGCATAAGTGGATCTTTGATATTTATGAATTTGCGAAGGAAACTCACAAGAATGCATTCAAAAATAACCATGACTTACACAACTGACGGTATTACAGCTGACTTAAAGACATTTGGTAATGCATTGTTGCCTAACACGAGGATTGACATTTGACTAAGATGCGAGCTTTTAATGTTCACAAATTATGTCTTATTAATATTTCAGAGGCTCGATTTCACATGCATACCAAGACAAAAGAAATTATTTCAAAGGTTATTAAAAGATTATTGTGCTAAAAAGTGCTAGTATTTTTGAAACTAAAAAATGTTAGTATTTTGTTTCAAGAAGAAATGGAAATTAATATAAAGAATCACTTAAATTACTCAATTGTTTAAGATACTTGAAGAAGTAAAACCCTTTGACGTCACTAACTCGATATTTTTTTTTAATTTATGATGCGCAACGTAATTTCTGGTAATGTTAAAATTACTTCAGTTTTATTTTCATGAATTCTTCAAAATAAATATTTATACTACAATATATTAAAGATTTGCTACTAACAAGCTGCCTGCTTGTTAGTTATTATTTAGAAAAACATTGCATTACCGCGTATAATTTCGAAAAAAAATATTACATTCTTCAAATGTTTCGGAACCTTTAGTGGTACACCTTTAGAAGACTGAAATATCGTTACTTAATATTTAATCGTATAAGTAAAAGACCCAAAACTTTTGAATAGTGTTCTAATTTTTAACAATACATTCGATGAAACGATTAAAAAGTAGTTTTATTAAATTAAACAAGTATTTGAATCAGTTTATCTCAAAGTGGAATGAAACAAAAAATATTATATGATTTGTTATTCCAAGATACGCAGTGTTTTTTTATGCTTCTATGCAGTTCAACTTTTGAAGTTATAATTAAAGTAAATGTCAACAACAATGAACTCATTTGAATATAATAGTAAGTTTAAAATAAATATTAATCTCTTTGCATAATTATTGGGTGAATGTGTCGATTAGAAACCCTTTTACTTATATAAGAACTTTACTGTACCACATTCAAGAAAAATAAACTATTAGTATTATTATTATTATAACGTATTTACATTCATACTACATCATACCTACATGAGACTGTGCTCGTCAAATGTTTTACTGGTATAAGCTTAAAAATAAAATTACAAGTCAAATATTACTTTAAATTTATTGATTCACGTTTGAAGTTCGATCTGAGTAATTTTTTACAGTAAACGGCCGCTTACCCATTTTACGCTAACGACTGAACTGTAATTCCATGTTTTTGCTTTCGTTTTTAAACCAGCATTAAAGTCGGAAACTTTTTGCGATTTTCATGTTGCTTTTGTTAGGCGTCTGTTTTATTTTGAACGTTCCAATTAATCTCCGCTGCACGTTAACTTGGCATAAATATAGCTCCTTTCAATTTGAATGCAAACCACTAACGTGTAACAGAATTATAAAGAAACCGTTCGTGACATAAAACCATTTCGTCTAGTTGATGTTAAAAATCTACATACGCCTTTGACGTTACGTACTTATTTAAAATACAAAAAGATATTACGATATTTCTTGCGTCTTTTAATCGTGGGAACATTGAAGATGAGTAAAAAAATTCATTGTGGATGTTACAGTTTATATCGGGTCAAAATGTACGTTCACGTAATTCACCATCGAATGGTATTGTTCCGTGAGAGTAATGTGGTGGGAATCATGTCGCAACTCTATTTTGAGGACATGCTTAGAAATGGTTTTCGATACTTCCTGCACCGTCGGTGGTGCCGCATTGCAGGGCAAGGCCAACCCACTTTTTACCACTTCTGGTTTTTGCCCGCCTGACCCTGACGTGTTTGAGGTTACAATTACGCATTCTGATCACCCACGCGTGCGACATAGTAAATGTCACAAATATAGAAAGTGCATTTTTCCAACGTGACTGGAAACTCGATGTAATTGATTTCTCCACGGCTCTAAAGAACCTGGTGAGATTTTGCCATTCTAACTCATTGAAATTCAAGTCTGTTTCATAATAATAAAACACTAAAATAACGTAGTGTTTAAAATTTAAGTTTGTAGTTCTATGGTATTACAATTGCTAGAACGTGATTGCGCATGTGTTATAATGTTGCCATTTTATGCGTGCGATCATATGAATTACATAAAATAGAGAAAGCGAAGGGAAGCTGACATACGACGATCGGAAGCGGATACGGAATCACTTGGCATCCACCTGACCTGACCCTGCGGGGCTAGTTATTCAACAATCTCGGAGTAGAGCGACAGACTGACCTTAACATGTAACGTCACGGTTTTATTAGTTATTACTGTATATTGCGCTAGAGTGCTTTTATGATATTTTTTTATATATATGTGCAATATTCCTTTCTTGTTTTTAATATATTAATATATATATATATATATATATATATATATATATATATAATAATAATAATTAAAATGAGATAATATTTAGCATCAACTCTTAATATCATACCCGAATTAAACTTTAACATTCCTTAAATTGACGAAATGTGTCGAATCATATTATGTACCTATCCGACACGACACGTCTTAGAAGTCTTTCTAGCCCGGCCTCTGTCCAATACTCATACTGTACTCATATTTTAGAGAGAAAATATTTGTTTGTTGGCGTTAAATAGCCTCTGAAACTGCAGGTCCGTTTTAAAAAATTCCTTCACCTACGGAAAATTACATCAGACTCTGGTGACATAGGCTATAATGTACTCAGGGGAAGTCGGAAGAAAAAAGGTAGTGGTTATTTATTACTCTTAAACCGTATTTAACAGAAAGAATTTAAATGAAAATCATTTGCGTAAAATGTGCTTGCCCCCTGAACTCATGCGTTTGATTGACCTTTAGATGATAGCGCAAGAATATTTTAATGTTTCATAATATATTGTAACCTCTACTTACGTAATAAAAATTATAAATTAACCGGTCAATAGTGAGAGGAACGCATTTTAGCAAATACAGTACTTAGTTTATAATATTATTCTGTGTTAGAATCACTAGTATGTATTTTTTTTTCTATAATAGAGCCATGATCTAGCGATAAAATATTTTGCCATCATGAAATGTCTAAAGTCACTTGGACAAGGATTACATAAATGTTAATAGTGTTTATAGGCGCGCCAATCGAAACGGCATTTGGAGTTTTTATAATTCTTTGAAAAGTACGAATGCCAGACACCTCTTACTATGATGATTATACACTGACACGTAATAAATATTCATTGGTGTGTATATTGATATTCAGATCTGGTTAGGAGGACTTTAATGTAACGATTAACCTTATAGATGCATACTCGTTTTGTTCATACATATTCAACCACAAGGACAAACTACTTTTAAAATAGTAGCTCTAGTTGGCTAAATACAAATTATATAATTTAAGATAATAATGCATTGTAAGCTTTTTCCTTAACTTAAGCTGGCTACTAAAAACTTTTATCGTCTGTGTGTCAACATCTACTTTCGATTGATGTTAAAGTGTACACTGTTTACACTCTCAATTTCTCAAATTGTCCAGCGAATTTTTCTAATTATAATTTCTTTGGAAATTTATTTCTTTATCATGTGCATTATGTATTTAATGCTGATACTATTATTTTCAGTGTTGTATTGTTGGCGTTGGTGGCTTATAAGGCGGATGCGGCACCGCGGCCGCAGGATGATGCGGAGCCGCGATCTCCGTCGAGGGGACTCCTAAAACGAGGCCTCAAAGGGAAACCTACTACTACCACCACGACCGCAGCGCCCCAGGTGAGGGTTTGAAATTATCATAAATTATCATATTCTATCATCTGATTTTTCTTTAAATGTCCATAAAATCTTCACCCACTCACTTCCTGAAACTGATTCAACTCCCTGTTCTCATTGTTACCCATGGAAAAGTACGGAGTCGGAGGATTGAAAATAATAGAAATTTACTAAAAATAGAAAGTAGAAAAGTCACATGTTTATGAAGATAACATACAAAAAGTCAACTGAAGCATGACATGAATATTGTATCATAGAGAAGATTGGTCATAACGATGAGTCAATGAAGATAGTCCGCTAAATGCTTATTCCGTGGTTTCAATATCATTCAATGGATAACTAATTATATGAAAATAGTTATAATTGGCGTTATATTCAATATTTGCCGCCTGGTATATGACGATTCTTACCTTAATTTAAGACATAAAATGTCGATATTTTGTATGAATACGAGCTCAAATTTCGTCAGCTCAAATCAATGACGAATATTGTATTAAGTATAATTTTCTAGAAAAAAAAAATAACGAATACGAATGCCTTCTCGAAAGGGTAAAGTTGAATTAATGTCCATTGTCGAACGGCTTACATAATGATAGTTTCATGACGTCAACGACTCTGAGATTCACTTCATCAGAAGACTGGAAAAATTTAATAAAAAACAAAACTGACTTGAAAAAAATAAATACTAAATTCATAATATATTCAAGAAACTTCTATTAATGAAAGCCGGTTAATATTTAATAATCTACGCAAAAGTCTCACATTTAGGTTTGATTTTGTGCTGGGAAACATAACGTTTAGCCCGACAGCGATATTGTATATCTACGTATTACACTAATGTTTGATTATGAAACTTACCACTTTGGTGAGTAACCTATGCCGAAATGAATACAATAGAGCACAGGCCCAATCCATTGTTCTGATACTAAGATTTGTCATGGTTAATATTTATTGTCTGTGAAACGATGATATACCTAGTATGCCATATTACTTTCTCTCGGAATATATAAACGAACGACCACTTAAAAAAAAAAGAATACTCTTGTTTCAAGCTTCCAAATTAAATAAAAGCTTCAAAAGGAACATGCAATAAAAGGCAGCAATAAAAGGAACATGTTTTATTTGCTATATAATTTAGAGTCCCACTTTTTTATGATATCGCAGAAACTCATCATAACTAATTAGTTTTTTAATAGATGATAATTTAAAGATTGATTAAGAAATTGTTTGACATAGTAATAAGATTTGTTCTTTTTTAATACTCTCTAAGTAAATATACTTAATAATATTATAAATATGAACGATTCCATTGTTTTTTTGTTCACAATGATATGCTTCGAAACTACATGAGTGAATGAATGAATGATAATATCAATGATAATGAATGAATGTTACTATTACATCATTAGATAGTATAAAACAAAGTCGCTTTTTTCTATCCCTATGTATGCTTAAATCTTTAACAACGGATTTTAATGCAGTTTTTTTCATAGATAGGGTGATTCAAAAGGGAGGTTTTTATGTATAATACAAGACCACGCGAACGAAGCCGCTGGCGAAAAGCTATTTATTCATAATGAAGATAGGCGATAGTCTATAGAGAGTTCATAAACATTTTAGTGTATGATAAAATATAGTGAATAAATGTTACATATTTATAACGGAGCTTATTTCATTTAACTTCTTTACGAACATCAGAATATACCAAATAATTATGATTTACACCTAAAATTATTATAGTTATAGTTTAATATAGTGCGCAAATTTTGTATTGAAAAATTGCCAAAACTTCCGTAAGTATTGTAAAGTTAGTTACGTAGTTATGCATGCGGCGATAATTGTACCGGTGTTTCGCAAATAACATGTTAAGATAGTGACGAATCCGGTTCAAGGCGAGTGGGCTGAATGGTCGTGCCCCATCTTCGGGTCACCTTCGTTTGTGACCTTTGTGAGACCTTCCCTTCTTCAGAGATGTTAACAGTGCACTCAGTGCATTACCTGTGCATATTTCGGCGACCGGTTCTCGTAAATCATGCCGGTAAATAGGGAAAACTCATTTCGATGTTTGTTAGATGTCTGAGGAATCCAATGCAAATTTTGGTTAAGTTAATATTTCGAGAATAATCTTAATTCAACTTGAACAATCTGTTTCTAAATTTACGAAGTTTCATCTATATATAGACAATACGCGCCTTCAAAGAAAACTTTCGGGACATTGATTCCTGGTATTTTACAATTCACATTTTTACAAACTCAATGATTTTATACAGATACTATAGGTACATTTATCTTATTTAATTATGGATTCTTAATTCAAACACGTGTTTTCGCTATACCTTAGAAATTATGTAATTTACGGTGACGGTAAAAAATGTATCCGAGTTGATATTGTAAATTGTAAATATGTATATTGTATGGTTATATGAAAATCTTGTTTTTCTCTTTTCAAAATACTCCAATAATATACTGCTGAGTTCAACTGGTACTGCTGAGAGTTTTTACATATATTCACCGATTTATTCAGATTTCGAATTCTATTTTTAAATTATCCAAACTATAAGCGAATCGGTTGCAGGGTTTAAAATAGCTGGAATAAATTGTCCACGTAACAATTAACATATACTTCAACATTTTTGTCGTCCATTTTATTTAATAAAAATATTTTTTAATTCGTAGTACGTAATGGAAACAATTTAAATTTCAATAATATTTTTAGTTTCTTATTTTTTTTCACAAACCAAATGAAGAATTATCATTATTATTTTCAGTTTTTTTTTTTTCATTATTAAAAGCTCATAATAAATGTTGTCCTTCAATTCTACCACACAGCATTACTTTACTGCTCGTTGATCCGGCTTTCGCCACATTCTGAGCTTTACCTGTGCTTCGGCCATGATCTTTTCTGTATGTATTATTATTGGTAACGTGATTCGTGTTCATCAGAAGTGTGTTGAATAGTGATCAATGTTTTTTTATTAGTTCGATTTTTTTTTATATGATTATTCATTCAATTAGGTACTTTTTTAAAATTAAATATCATTTAGCAGTAGGATGGAGTTGGGTTGATTGTAGTAAAGCCGATTTTTCCCTACACCATCAAAGGCGTCTAAGTGCGGTAAATTGGAACATACCGTTTTAATTCAACTATTCCCGTTAAGCACTAAAAAACTTGAAGTTCCAGACTTTTCTATTGAACTTAGTTGTGTAAGCCAATTCCTCTAATATTTATCTATATATTGATTGCACTCCAATTTTAGCTCCATATTTATACAGGCAACAGAAAGTTTATTGCCATTTCCTGGTACAACACTTGTGTTCTGTTTTTATTGACATATTTAATATAAATTTCTTTGTATTTATAAATAGTAAATAACAAAGTCGCGTTTCAGTGTATGTACGATGAGAAATTTTACTACACTACACAATCAATTTTGATACAGTTTCCATCAACATACAGAGTGATTCAATAGAAGAATTTATTTGTACACGATCACGCGAGCAAAGCCACTGGCGAATAGCTAGTATTAAGTGACATCAAAATATATGGATCAATTTTTAATCATAAATTGTAATATTAAGTTACAATTTATGATTAAAAATTGATAAAAGTTATATTACACTTTTCCCGAAAACTGGAAGCATTTTCTTGGATAAGTATTATTTATCACTTTTTAAAGTTTGAAATTGGTTTTGATTTTCGGATAAACTTTTATTTCATTCTTTTTTGGTGGTATTTATATTTTTTATATAATAGGTTACACTTAAATATAAAATATCTATAAACTCATAAATAAAAATATTCAACATAGTGACAGTCTTAGAGAAAGAGATTTTGTTTATTTGCTCGACATATTTTTTTCCAATTATCTATACTCATGTTATAACGAGGAAAGATTTGATTATTTCTTTCCATTGAATAGGCTCCAAAATTATCGCCCATAATTAATGTAGGTGAACTGGCGGTGACACAGCTGATTTGATAGAAATTGGTTCACAATTCAAGCAGAAATCGATGTACATACCTACCATTGACTTTTCGATTGAGATAACTACTTTGATAAAATAATATAATAAATATACACGCTCGTTGAACATAGAAAAATCTCCTTTTGCATTTTGAATGAATGGAAAATGCGCAATCTTTTGTTTGTTAGCTGTAAGGTATCATCAAAATACTTAGGTAGTATCTGATAAAAGGCATATCTTGTTTTGTTATAAAATAAACTACTAATTCAATTTCGATAAAATTGAAATAGGACCACCTCGGCCCATTAAGCTGTCGAATAAAAGAATAAAAGAATAAAAGAATATTCAAAATTTATTCACAATTGTCAGAGTAATCGCGTAACAAACACACAATAAAACATGCAATCGAATTAAGAACATCCTCTTTATTTGAAGTTATTTAAAAATAATTTAAAGAAAAACAAAAAGCCCGACTGCGTAAAAACGAATTTAAAAAAATACATGACGAAATAAACTAAAATACATACATAGACTGATAAACACATTACCCTTCTTTGCGTCACGCAGTCGGGTAAAAAGAGAAAATGTTATAAAAAATCTTATTTTATAGAAAACGCATTTTTTATTTCATAAAAATAAGAACGAGTTAAAAGGTACTTGTTTTTTACAGGAAGAGGTGGAATATGAGGACGATGTTGATTACTCTGCTGAGGCGCAACAGGAGCCGTCCACTGAGGCCCCACCGTCGTCCACGGAGGGCAAGAAACTGGTGGCTGGTGGTGTGAGACCGTTCCGTAGCAATACCGACTTACTCGAAACCTTGAAGCGGAGGCGAGCCCAGGCGGCTGAACAATGTGAGTATTTTACTTTCTAATTACGGGCCCGTACACAAAGGGTAAACGGAACCCTATTTCTAAGATTTCTTTGTACATCCGTCTGGCACCAGGCCGTATCTAATGAACTATAAAAAGGTTCAAAATCAAGTGAAGAAATTTGACAGATCTGTATAGCCTGACATGCTGTTGTCTGTGCTTACATCAAATTTTTAGCTTCACTACTGATTCTGGTAGTTTAGGTTTAGGGATTGAGGACTTAGGGATCTTCGGATAAAAACTAATTTCTATTTTCTTTTAACACTGATTTTTCAGCTTCATTATTCAGTTTGAAAATATTGTGATGGTATAACACTTTTTGTTCCTCTTAGGCAATTCATTATTAAATTTCGATAGCCTACAAATTGCATAACTGTTTGCTACTGATATGGTGATTGAAAAATTGAATTATTAATTGTTAAAGTGTAAAAATTACATATGAATAAATATACATATAAGCCAGCTTATATATCACTATAATAATATGTCATCACTTCTAAATTTGATTAGATTTGTACTATGATAAGGTCTATGAGTGATCACGAAATAAAATCGACTGAATTTATGTCAAAATATAGAACTTAATTGTATTTTTCAGCTAAACACGGTCATTCAGCCGCTGCCCAAGCTCACGAATCTCCGGCTGCAGACACTGCCAGCAAAGGTAACAGAAGTTATTTTTATATAAAATAAAATATATTTTTTAAAAGTGTTGGTCTTTTACGTGACATTGGCATATTGCGCAAGTCGTGCCTAACATATTTAAAATTAAAATTTAAAAAAATTGTTGGTCTTCAATTCAATTCAATTTACGTATGTAAGTACGTATCGATTGTTATCATATCAATCAAGTAGGTACCTCTTACGTTCGAAGTTATTGTGCAAATAATGTTCATTATACAAGTCGTAATTTCGTAATAAATACGAGCTTTTTTATCACGTCCGAATAGGATTGGATTCATTTGAATAATTCAAGACTAATATGACCTCCACTGAGTTACATATTTATTTATAAAAACCAAATTTTTCTTACCTCTTCAAAGTTCGATGTCTGTTTTATTTAAAAAAAATACTAAGAGAGAAAAATTTAGGAAGCTACAATTTGACAATACTATTCAATTTTTTTTAGGCGGGACAAATTTATAGACCTAAAAATATCTATTCACGTTATGACGTCGACAAAAACCATAGAAATTAATATAGTTTTCCCATTTATCAGCTTATTTAAACAGGCCTCTATACAAAACCTATTCAAATTTATTGATTTTAATTTACATGCCCCTTGAAAATTTATATTTTTACTCGTATTTTTGTAAAATATACCTAAAGCGTTGTGAATATTCCCCTTATTTATAGTCGAGTGAAGTTAATATATTTTACAAATAAACAAAAAACGAATGACCAAAGAGCTGTTAATTGTAAGAAAACTATTATTATTAGCTACTCGTATTATGGTTCTTATTTCATAATATTCTCGCTTATTAGTTAAAAATATCTGCTTTAATGCCTTTTTCTGAAGAAATTACACCTCTCGACTATAGGTGCGAGTGTTAAAGTCTATCAGGCTTATAGTTTTATTATTTTTGTAATAGGTAAGAAGCGCTTCAACAACCCGCCGCCAGCGCGCGAGAACAACAATGAGGAAGCTCCCGCTCCGGCGAAGCCTAGCAGAGGGCGTTTCGGTAGACGTAAGTTTATAACTAGTGTTCACCTTAGCTTAAACTCGGAATAAAGACACTCAAACACCCTCAGGAGACAAAATAGTAAGCTTCATCTTATAAAAGAACCCGGCCGGAAGTCGAATTCGGGAAAATGAAGACAGCTTTTGACACCGGACCTAATTTTAGAATCTACCGCAATCCCTTTCAAATTTTCATTTGAAAGATATTCACGAACTTCGCGCTTACAAATATTTGACATGTGATAGCGATTGACATCACGACGTTTTTTTTTGACAGATGTTGCATGAACGTTATGAGCGTTAGACGCAAATATTACATCAAGTTTCATGTTTCTTTATCATTCAAACTATAATTCGATGTATATAATATCATTCAAACTATAATCGAGATGCCTAGCTAAAACTGGGGCCATCACTAAAAAAATAATGTTCCGTGTGTGTCATTTTCAATTCTCCTGATCTGTTATTAATACAATAATTTTGGAATACATCTAAAATAATAGATTGCATAAATCATGGAGTAGACAGAAAGGATTTTTTTTTATAACAAATGAGGCCATATTGTAGTAAACCTAAAATGAAATTGGGCAATCTATGATTAGAATGATTCAAGTATGATGAATGATCATCGGACGATCCAACAATATCCATGCGCGTGACCCACTTTGTGTTTTGTGATTAATTAAGTAGTCTTGTTTCAACAAGACTCAATGTAAATTTTAAACGTCGGTATCATTAGTGATATGTCTTCCTCACAAATCAATGGTGACAGATATAAATTGGACTTCAGGTGGACTTCAGGATAGTACAAGAGTAAATCTTCGCTAAAATTGCAATTATAGTATTAGTCCAAATTCTTAGTATACAGTCAATAAGTAAACCTACTACTACCTTCTAGGAGTAAATATTACTCCCGTAGAACCTAGTACTAGATTAATATTTGCTAAGTCTCTGTTTAATAATATGAATTTTGACGAATACTAAATGTAGTCTCAGTGTAAATTTTCTCCAACTTTGTTTATTAGTAACTCTGTAGTAGAATTTGCATGCAGTAGCAATTCTGATTGGTTACTATAGCGCTTTACCTACACCCTTTTATGACACAGATGTTGTTACTAGATCACAAAATAATAAATATATCGGATACCATAGATAGCGAGTAACACATCTCACTAAAAATATTAGACTGCAGTTAACTACCAGTAATACAAATGCAAGTAATTGAGATTCTATTGAGAGCAATGGAGGTCCAGCTCTGCGCAAGTAAAGGTACATACACAGGTGAGCAATATTAGTCGGAACTAAGTTCAACTCTTTTTATTCTTCCAGCTGCCACAAGGGCCATCCAAGAGTCGGAAGCGGAGGAGCAGTTCGACGCTCCACCACCGTCTAGAACCGGCAGAGGTTTCGCCAGACGAGGTGGTTTCTAAAAACTCTTCCGTCTATATAAACCCCATTCTCCCACCCCTATTTTCACTATGAAGTTGCAAGCAGGGAGCAAGGCAACAGTCAATAACAATAATTGTATTTATTCAGGAGCCTAACTGTATACCACAATGTCGGGTTATACACTGAGCTGTGAGATGTCGCTTGATCTAAATCCAATTCCTTACATAATTTTTTTCCTATATAATTTTAAACAGCAATATATTTATACAAATATGACTACAAAAATTTATAAGAAATGTTTATTTATATAAAAATGTTTGTATTTTGATAGGTAATACTTAACAATAAAAGCGCATCTTTATCTTTATTTCAATCTTGGTTTTGTACATCTATTTTCTCTTCTGTCTGTATTTAGTAATGCATATCCTTATTTTCTACGAGACTAGATATTAAACTAGCAATTATGATGAACTGCGCGCGTAACGGATAGTAAATTATTTACTAATATAATTTTATTATGTTTTGTTGTTATATTATTTTTTTTATTTTATTCCAGATATATGTTTTAAATACTTATTTGACTTGCCTTCCTCACTTTTTGATTGGCTAATTTATATATTTTATGACTTTTGTTCATTAAATGAGTCAATTTAGCCATTACTTGCTGCTTTATTATTAGTTTAATTAGAGAGGGTTTATATGATTTTATATTTGTAAATTATACTTAAGTAACTTTAAATGATTATACTTATTTTTATAGTGATGTATTGTTTTATTTTTTTACCAAAATTTACTAGGTGGTGTTAAAATAATATTTTCTGTAGTTCTATTCTGTTATACAAACACGATCTTAACGCCGAGCGTAGCGCTGTCACGCCATAGAGATTCAATCATATCCCTTTTGCGCATGTGTAATTTTGTAACTAAGAGGTCTATTATGATTGTTCTAATTGAAGTGATTTTGGAAAATAAATGTATTGTGGCCCGCGATATATCTAAGAAAAATTTTATTCATATTGATTTCTTATATTTTCACGCTCACTTTCCATAAATGAAACAACTTTTAAACGGTTTCAAAGTGTTTGTATTTCATTTTGTTGAAGTTTCGGACCCTTTACAGGTTCCGTGTTCACATAAGACTAAGGTGTTGATTGTCTTTTTAATTAAGAGTATAGCTACCTAAAACCAATACTATTGGACACATTCACAATCCAAAAAATATACACACACCAACATCGTCTATGGATATTTTGTATTCCGGTTTTAAAGTCTCGATTCCAAATTTGAATAAAAAAAAAATTTCAAACAAATGATTTGCGCGGTATAATTCAAGCGAAGTTCGAAGTTTTCAATTTACCTACCAGTTTTTGAAGATTTTTTGTGTTAATCGAAAGTTTTAAAACAAGTTAGCTGTTTAATTTGAATTTGTGCTACTGTATGCATTATGCAGCGACGCCATTTAACAAGAGGAAATGTTAAGGGCAGTAGGCAAGCTCCAAGCTGGAGTTACTCAACGGAGTATTGCTGAGGATATTGGAACAAAAAAAAACTTGATATCACGGTTATGGTTACGTTATCGTGTTACTGGTGAAGTGGCTGAAAGACACCGAGGCGGGAAGCGCATAACCAACCAATGACAAGACCGATTTTTGCAAATTGCTGCGAGAAGGCAACCAAATGTTACGGCCATGTAGTTGGTTCAAAGGCTCCAGTTAGAGCACCAGTTGCTTGTGAGTGACCAAACTGTGAGGAGAAGACTGCATGAAGCTAATCTTCATGCTCGCAGACCGCTTCGTACTCCTGCACTACGCCGAGAAAAGCGTGGAAGAAGATTACAGTGGCCACGTGAACATTTGTTCTGGGAAGGTAGCCAGTGGTCTGTAATTCTGTTTACCGATGAGTCCCGATTTGGTTTCCGCCGCCTGTAACACCCTTGGGAAGTCCATCCATACCATGGCGATCATCAGAAACACATGACCGCTAATAAATACCTCAACCAAGTGTTACCAATAGTACCAATAGTCTACCCATATCTACTACAAATGGGTCAAGAATTCACGCTCATGCATGACAATGCTCGTCACCACACAGCGCGAGTGGTCACAACTGGCTTCAGGAATATGATATATCGGTCTTAGACTGTCCCGCGCATCACCAGACCTAAACCACATAGAACACCAAAGAAGGGCTTTGAGGAATTTAACTACATTGTCACTGAAGAGCAACTTTTTTTTGCATCTTTCCAGTACCTGGGACAATATCCAACAAGACTTTGATAAGTTTATTCGAAGCATGAAAAATCGTTGCAGGCCCGTTTTAAACCCCATGGGTGGTTTTACTGACTATCGATTTTCAAAATTGCAAATAACGGAATAATTTCGCTATATTTTTCACTTTTTCTTTAAAAACACATTTATCGTTATTTTTACCATTATTCTACCATTCGTCTTTACTTAAATAATTTATTTTTAGGTACAAAAAAAATCTAAAATCTGCACTAATAAATAGGCTTTATAAAAATATTAACATGTTGTATGTTATTCAGTAAAAAAAAAAAAACTGAGAAAATTAAGAATCATTAAACGGCAACGTTCACAATTATTAAATTATTTTAAAAACCCATTTACCTTATTTATTTACCCCCGACTACCTGTCTTGTGAAACAAACTCCGACAAGAAAAGTCAAATACTCCCTTTGATTTAATATTCACAGAATGAACAAACTGTATCTTTTGGTTTTGTAATGTAAAATCTGGATTGAGATGTTATTTGAGTAATTACTGGATCCCAAGCCGATGGTTTACGCCACCGTTAATCTTTGTTAAAATTTGGATGTTCCGTAATATGTAATACTGTTCTCAATGGTCCGGCAGCTAAACAGACTTATTTTTATATTTTATCTATATTTTTATAGTATTTTTACATATATTTAATGTTTATTTTTGTTTTTATGTTGTCAATTTTATACTATAATTATTGATTGACATTTATGCTTTGGCAAGGCCCTGCATTTGTGGACAATCAGTCACCTACGTAATAAATTGGAAAATGGGTAAATCTTTTGAATAGGCGTATTCAATTGATTTCATTGGGGTAATTTATTTGAAAGGTTTTTTAAGTAATAATGAAACATAAATTTTAAACTCATATTTCGAATAAGTACCGAATTTGAACAATTGATTCCAAAATTATAGGAATTTACTTTTTTATGGGTAGGGAAGTCAAGAAAAGATCTGAAACAATATTAAATGATATTTAAAGTATTATTATTATATTTCCATTTTTGTTTCAAAACGGTTTACTCCAATCTTAATTATTTATATATGTTTTGTCATTTTACCAAACATTTATTATTGGTACTGCCTATATTATTCTACTCTTTGCTACCTTACAAAGCACTGACTTAGGCAATGTTTGTCTATAATTTTGCATGCTTCAGTTCCTATTCTTTTTTTAATGTACGGCATATTTGCGTTTACACAATTTCGCCAATATCACGTTAGTGGCCTTTACACGTAAAGTTACAATAACAAAAAAATATTTAATGAGATAATGAAACAAGAAAAAATATATGTGTTCTTGTATTTATATGAGCACTCAAGTCGTTATTGTTATTGTAAAAATAATTTATTCACTAGACATTGGCAGAATTGTGCGAAATGCGCATATCAACCAATAATAAAAGAAGATGAAGTTTTTAGAAATATTTAAGTGTCAGATTAGGCACTCTTAAGGTAAGTGAAAAATGCTACAAACCTTTCTGCAAATACTTTAACGTCCGCCTCTAAAACATTATCCTTCCCATGGTGTTTGATGTACGTAAAAATTAATTGACGCGCCAGTGGAATCACTGTTTAGAGAAGGCAATTTTTTTAGTAAAATTCCTGTTCATAATTATATTTTAAATCAACAACTAATTGTTCACGATAGGTCAGAGCAGATATTTATAAAAAAAAAATCATGTATGATAAGAGAAAAATATTTTTTTATAGTGCTGCTTTACTTCTACTAATGAAATTGTTGGTGTATCTACTTTTTGTGTTTCAATTTTATTGAAGATAACAATTCGTAGTATTATTTATCTATTTTTCAGTCGTCTTTCTTTATTACGATTTTTTTGAAGTCGGTTTTCAGAGTTTTGGATTTTTTTTTCAACAATTTGTGTCTTACCTTTGACACAATATTTTTGGTTATAAATTAGATCACTACGCATATTTATACCCTCCATAGAATGCCATTCAGGCATCTCAAGATCCACCCATATCATTTAAAATTTTTAAATAGAATCAGTCAAATCAAATTATTCTTGTTATAATAAAACCAAAAGTATTTTATTTGATTAAAAATAAAATTGCTAACATAGAAGAAAACACAAATATATCTTAATATTACATTTATTATCACACTTACGAAAGATACAACACATATCACGATGGCACTAGCGATCAGTGCGTCGGCTGAAAAGTCCCATTGTTATTATTATGGAACTGAATGAAACGACTTATTCACTTAGCCCTAATATTTCTCTTAACAGAATAAATACAGAAAAGTATGAGTATAATATTTCGTTTTTATATTGATAATTAAAACCTTATCAACTTTGTTAAATATAAACTTAGGTACCTATGATAAAAACCAAACGATTTAAAGACAGATATAGTTTTGTCAGAATATTAAAAAAAAATATTTTAGTTACATCTATGATTCTTGAGATTCATAATTTGGATCTACAGTGTTAATTCATAAAATTTCAATTAAATAATTAATCAATTTGTTTATAAACTGCTTCTTTACAGTGAATATTTAATAACATTATTTACTACTAATATGTACATTAAGTCAGAAACAAATTCTGGAGTAGGTATTGGATACTTATAATAAAAAGGCGTAAAATAGAATAATTATAAAAAAAATAGAAACCTACGGAGTATTTGCATACTATAACAGAAACTGTAAATAAATGGAAACAGTAAGTATGGTATAGTATAGTATACATTAAAAATCTCTACGTCTAGACAATTTGGGGAAATAAATTGACTAAAAATCGTGAACTGTACAAAACGAACGCAATGATCCAGTGAATACATAAAATTTTACTCTATAAGCTGATTTTCCAGTTTAAAGTCATTGTAGTCTGCAATATTTGAAACTTAAAGTTATGTAAAACTTTGTAAATCATCCGTATAATATATTGATGCATTGCTTCGGTATTGTTTGGTCACATGGATAAATATGTGTGTATAATATTGACAATTATTTACTTAAGGCCTGCGCAGATAAGGAGAAGTCTCTGAAGCATAGGATCTGTGAAACTGAAACAGAGACGAATACAATGCTAGTACTATATTTTTGCTACTATATTTTTGTACTTCATAAATTGTTAGGTCGGTATCATCACTTGTTTTTTTTTTCATTGATGCTTCTCTGACAATTAATATCAAAATTTAAAAACTTCAAGATTTTGGAAAGACTTTTTAGCGACTAAAAGCAATTATAGACTATCTCTCCTGGTGAATAAAAATATAATCTTAAGGTCTTTCCCTCATTCTCGCAGACCTATTTTTAAAATAGATAAATAAGGCACACTCATTTTCCATGTGACCGTACTATGTCACGTCATGTTAATATAGTTTTTTTATTTATGGTAGCGCGCACCACGTGCCGGACGTATTGGCTTCCCACCGATTCCAGCAGCGCGTCGTCTTGCGAATAATGCATCGAGCCCTCGAAGCGGTGGCGCTGCCGTCGTTTCCACTACGGGCTCCTCTGTTTCTGTCTCGCTCTTTTCTGCGCTGGTGCTCTCTTCTGTTGTCTCTGTGACCTTCTTCGCTGCTTCTGTTGTAGCCTAATGAAATTTAAAAATACTACTATTACCTTGAGGAATTTATTAAGATCCATTAATACCTACTTATGTAATGTAATTAACAGCACTTAAAATTATCATTTCATACGTATTTTAAACTCTCTAAGAACATGAAAATAAAGAACCTCAGTGGAAGGCAATTTCCTCTTGAGTAGCGGATTGGGACGGCGCGTGGGCGCCGTGGAGGCAACTCTTGGCTTTGGTGAAGGAGACACTTGCAGTCTATTTCTTAACCTCAATCGAGGATTGGTTTCTGGCGCTGGAGTTGGCGAAGACCCCTGAAATAAATATATTTTAATTTTATTCACAATTAAGCAACACTTTTTGCTTTTTAAATTAATATTGTATTTTTGATTATTATAATTATTATTTCAGTTTTGCTCCTATTTTTCACAATATTCAATTATGGGATAATTTTTATGTTTGCAGAATTCAAAAGAGTGTAAGACGCCTAGCTGTCCTGATATATTTTTCCTCAACATTATTCGTTTTTAGACTTCGGAACATTTCGTTCCAATGTATCAATGAAGCTAACTAATTTGGCTGCTATTATATTTCAGTTTTTATAATATTATTTTGTAATAGTGGGAATAAACAATAACTAGTAGAAAGGAAAAAATAATGATATGTATGATATGAGACTGAGTCTAGTAAAGTTACTGACGAAGGAAATGGTAATACTTTGGTGTTATAACATGTTATCAAATCTCACCTCGCTTTCACCATCAGTGGCTGGTGCTTCAGGTGCTGATGTTTCCGCAGGTGCTTCTGATGCTGCTTCAGGGGCGGCGGGAGCTCCTGGCCGGGGGCGTGCACCAGGTTTCAAATTAAGTCGGGCACCTGGTCTGAGTGATGCTGGCCGCAATCCGGGCCTGGCACGACTGTTGACATCATTTTCACATTATAACAGATAATTGTATTAAAACTATTTCATTTTAATTATTATTTTACTCATTTAACACACGCAGACGAAAGCATCATATGTTCTGCTATTCTTTTAAAAAACTTTAAGGCTCTGATTGATCTATGATTTGGTTACTACAGTCCTCACAAAATTAATGGAGCTTCATATCATTAACACAAATATATTTGATTATGGACTTTACAAAATTATAAAAAATCAATCAATTTCGAACTTTCAGTAATTTTAAAAGAAGTGGGTAAGAAAGTTTAAAAACGCATCGTTACCCAATGGTCCTGGACGGTGCTGGTGTAGTTTCCACTGTGTCTTCAGATACACCGCTCGGTGGAGCATCCTCGGCTGCAGGTGCAGCCGTACTTGTGGTGGTAGTTCTCCTTAACGCCGGACGAAGACGCGGTCTAGAAACGATCGGGAATATTTCACTATAAAACTCAGCTGTTCTGTTTATTTACTGTTTCCTCGATATGACAAAATGATCAACATATCAGTACTTCAAAGGATGGACAAATATCTCAAGCTCATTAATAAAATTAATTGTTTAATTTTGTTAACCTAATGAGAAATAACAAATACAGAGTTCTTCATCTTATAATTCAAGGAATAATTATGGAAAGCGACATTCCTAGATAATTTCATGGATTATTCGGACGGATCACTACATCCCTGTACGGCCTTAAAATTAAAGATAGCCATGATGCTGGCCAACTTCCGATAAGAGAAACATATTAAGAAGAAGAAGCTAGATAAGTGTTTTGACATCACACTGTTGAAAAGGAAAATAATAAGATGACGACAAAATTAAAAACAAATTATTAGGAAAATCTTCTGTTACCAAGATTTGTGCTATCAAATTTCAAGAAATCTTTGAAAACAAAATACAACGTATATGTACGACTATGTCATAATCGTATAAAACAAAAAGTAAATGTCGAAGCTAAAATTTCCAAGAGTCCTCGCTTCACTTTCATCATCAGCATCATATGCATCGGCCTTTTAATGTTCCAAATGGAATCGAATGAAATGAAATTACATTAGGAAAACTTCGGAGTCAAAAGTACTTGAAGGTACTTAATCTATCTTGATTTTTTCGATTGTATTCGTTCACTGTTATTAATCAAAAAATAAAATATAATCGTTAGGAAATCTTAACTAATATCGTTTCCAACAGTATATCAATAACACAGTTTTAATTTATTGATTTAAGAGATATTTCTTAACTCTGTCCTGTACATTATTCTCTAAAAGATAGTGGTGTCTCATTATAATGAAATGCCTTCACAGCTTTCTCCTGGTCGTCACCGAAAAAGGTTTCGTCATTCAAAATGACTTTCTGAAATATTAAGTAACTGATTTTGTGAAGATTTGCTTTGTAATGCCATAACTCAATCGTATGACGATCAGTTTAGATTCGTGGAATGAGATAGTTTTTTTTTTAAGGGAGAATTAACAGAGATTTGAATTTACTGTGGCCCGTGTGTTATGAAATCAAACTCCATGAAGGTAAATCACGAACTGGGATATCAAATTTAATAACCTTTACTCAAATGTGACTGGTGATTCAAACAAACTCTTTAACTCAAGAGAGCTCTTGTTATAAGACCAAATGTAAGATATATTTAGTATTAAGGTGGTTCGTCTAGATTTCATTATTTTTAACAGTCAATATATATCTATTTAATTTTATTATAAAGCAAAGTCGCTAAATATGGAAAAGTATCCTTAATAAGGAATACATTATTAGTATTAGTTCTTAATTTTTTCCACAGGGAGAAATCTGAGATTGAGTTTATTTCTCCTGTTAAGAATAATTTATGAAGTTTAATATTTCATATTTAGTTACTCTATTAGTATATTGTGTCAAAAATTAATATTTTATTTAAAAATTATCACTAATCACATTAACGTCTTTGTTAATTGATAACTAAAACAATTAAATAAGTGTATCACAAATATGTGTTATACCTAGGTGCTGGAGTCTCGCTGGGGGCACCATTGCTATCCTCCTGCGCAGGTGCCGCTGTGGAACTTGGCCGAGTCCTTGCGGCGTACAGACCGCGTCGTCCGAATGACGGCTGCGTACAAAATCTCATGTTAGACTTTAAGCATTATTCACAATCCTTTTAAGGAGAGGAGTAATGTATGATAAGAAATAATATTTCATTTCTTTCATTATCTTCCCGCTGGATCTTTTGCCAGGTAGGCAAAGAAAATAGCGCCACAAGGCAAAGCATTAACGTTCTAACAAACTATAATTAAAAATGATTAAATAATTACACTTACCTATAAGTAAACTAAGTTAAACATAACATTTTAAAACATTTTTGATGGATAAAACGTTTCTTTTATTATTTTTTCAAACGATTTTAACATTTCGTTCATTATATCAAAAATTCCGGCAGTCAATCTATTTAGATAACTAGTACAATATTTCAATGCATATTTCATAGCGTACTCTAATTAATACGTTATCGAACAAAAAATCTGTTATAAAAGAGAGCAAAGCGTAAGTATTGGACTTTCTAAAACACATGTAGTAGATTAACGTTTTGACTAATGTATGTTACTTAACATCTTTAAAAATCGCACTGCAAATAACATCGCTCGCTGAAGCCACACAGTTTGGTTATAAATCTTTAGTTGCTCATTACAAATTTAAGATCTAATCTAAACATAACATTATATATTTTCACACAACGATAACGATTGATTAAGTTCAGTTTTAATCGTTTGTTTTTTATTTAACACACATTATATGTAAATTAGATCTTTTTTTTTATTGGCATTAGGTTAGTAATGAAACTGATTGTAGTACCTTAGAATGTACAGGTTTCTCAGCTGTGTTCGGCTCGGGTGTGGCTTCTGAAGCGGCAGCGGCGGTTGTCTTACGGCCATTCGGCTTGCTGAAGCGACCTGTTAAATAAAAACAAATATTGGATTCACTTTTTTTCTCACTAAAAGAGGGATTTCAATCAGTCTTTTAGTGATAGATATAGAATTAATTGGAAGGACCAGCGCCCTAATCAGATATGCTGTTATGTTAAAAATAGCTGGATCTCGAAATCGAACGCAACACTCTCAGGTCATAGAGCTTCAATGGAATAACACCTTTATTATATTTTGAAGTAGATTTAATTTGATTAAACATCTATGATGAGACAGCGCTGCGGTCAACAACGAGTTCAAAGCTGTTCTTCGTGATAGAGGGCTGTAGGTAACAAATACGTTGTGGCGAAAAAGTTTATTTAGAATGTTTTTAGAAAAAAAAAATCAATATTCTCGAAATATTGTTTGGGTGCAAGTTAATGAATTACTCAGAGCAAGAATTTATTCTTACAAAATCTAGCACACTTGTTTAGAAGCGCGTACAGACTAACATATATGAATATTGCGCCATATTCCAACTAAATTACATACATACAGGTCAAATTGATAAATTCATTTCATGTAAGGTCGGTTAAAACGTTTACGTACGTTTCATATAATGTTATAATGTTAATTATCATTTTAATGAAACTTGTAGTGTACCTTAAGTTGAAAGCTGAATGATTAAACAAAAAATCAATCAAACTTCTAGTTTGAGAGAAATCCGTGGACAAACATACAGACATACATATATACAGCCCATACATACCAGCATATATGAATATTACGCCATTCCAACGAAATTACTTTTTCTTCCCGCTGTACATGATGTCGTAATAGTCGTTTTCGCAAAAAGCAGTTACAATTTCACTAATAAACAATCGCTTGGCAACATGAATAATTAAATAACTTTCGCAATGCAAGTGTTAGCAGCTGCATAGAACTCGGCTAAGTACTACACTTACCGTTTACATTTTTTAATATTGATTTATTTTTCTCGTGTTACTTTGCGTTTATTTACATCGAAGGACAATCCAATTTTTAATATGATACCATTCAAATGTAAGCTACTGAGTATCAATAATAAAGTTAAAATCTTTTGATAAATGATTGCCTTTCAATGTATATTCAGTAAACACAAACGTTTTCATATTTTTTTACTTATGCTTACCTCTTGCCCTAGTAGAGGTTTCTTGAGGTGCTTCCGTGGCGGCCGATGAGCTTGATACACGAGCTCTTGCTCCTGGTCGGCCCTTGAATCTAGACGGTCGTGTAGGGGCTGCTGTTGTTGTAGTGGGAGCAGGCGTCGTAGTTGTCGTCGTAGTGGTTGTAGTGGTAGTGGTAGTCGGTGTAGTTGTCGTTGTCGGCGTCGTCGCCTCTTCCGTAGTACTCATAGCTTCAGTTGTCCAACCATCGATCTCCGTCGTCGAACCGTCAAAATACATATCGCTTGTCGGATTTATTTCATTGTTCAAATTTTCACCAGCCAAATAAGCGTACAGATCCAATGCCACCTTCTCCATAGCCGTCATCGTTGTGTACTCGGTTGTATCTTGCTCGTATGTAGTGGTTTGCTTGTAACCTGGAGGTAACTTTGAGTCGTCTAATATCTCTTGGTATTTAACACCGACGGGAAGGCTGTGTCCCTCTCGTGCTGATTGTTTGGCATTCGAATCATCTTTGGTAGCAGGTAGTTCTTCAACTTCGGGGATATCTGTGGTAGTTCTTGATTCAGATGAGTATCTAGTCGGTGGCTCTTTGTATTGTGATGGGATGTCTCCAGAGTGCGTCTTGAAGCTGTCTAAATCAACCAACTCGGAACTGGGACGTCTGAAATATAAATATTTTATTGCAACGTTATGTTTTTTATTTATATAATTTTTCTATGCGTGTCTATGACTGAACTTCTGTTAAATGGAATAAATTTTTGGGATTTCTTATTTACAGGTATGTCTGTTAGAGAAAGTTTTGATTCGCCGATGATGTGGTGCGATGGGTTTAATAATAATTGGCTTTCCGTCAGCTATTTCACCCGCGTAGTCCTGTATTATATATAAAAACCTTCCTTTTGAATAACCTTATCAATACCGCCCTATATATAAACCGCATCAAAATAAGGATAGACAGACGGAAAGCGACTTTGTTTTATACTATGTATTGATGCATTTTTTAGTAAGTAAATTCTATAATGCAACATTACCTTATGTGGGCCCGAGTACGGCTTCTAGTTTGGCCATTGGACTCATCAGCTGTATTGTCGGTATGTGGACGACCTCGATGTCTTACAGTTTCAGTAGCTACTTCCGTAGCGACGGTTGTAGTGGTAGCGGCAGCGAGGTTACGACCACGAGGAGGAAATCTAGTACTAGACGGCAATCTGCGTAAAGTAAAATTAATCAAATATTACTTTAGATAAAATCGAGTCGAATCATTTAATACGCTTGTTTTTTTCGTGCCATTCTACTTATGTATTTTGATAATTGAATTTGCAATGATATATACTATCAAAGTAAAGCTTGGCGATCAGAATTTATGTACATAAAAACAAAATTTACCTATCCTCTTCTATATCTTCCTCAACAGGAGCTGGGGTTAGGTTGCGTCCTCTGGTACGACCCCTGCTAGTAGTAGTTGCAGGAAGGATCTCATTCTGAGCCTCGGGTGTGGCTGTTGTGGTGGTAGCAGATCTATCAATGGTACTGTATCGGTTTCTTGGCTTTTCTTTGGGAATTTGGTTTTCATTTTCAACTTTTTGTGGACCATCGTGAGAGTTGTGAACTGTTGTTGCAGCTGCGGAGGGTGTCTTTTCCTTTCCTTCTTTTTTGCCTCCTTCTTCTTCGTCGTAATAGTAGTAAATGTACTCATATTCATAGTCTTGGCCATTCGGCCCCTTCTTGATTTGAATTCGTGAATGTTGTTTTTGTTCTGAACCAGCAGTTTCAAGTTGTACGTTCGATGATAACAGACCGCTGTTAATGTCGTCAATGGTATCGAAATTTATAGGAATGTAGTCAAAACCTTTTGCAGGTGCGGGTGGAGCAGTAGTTAATACAGGTTTCTGAGTAGTCGTACCGGGTGAACTAACTAGTTTCCCGGATTCAGATATAGCTTCAAGAGCAACTGCCATTTTAGGATTCGTGTCGACATCCTTTATGTTTTCTTTAATTTTTATATCTTCTATCTTTGATACGGGAACATCAATTTCAATGGATTCTGATTTGAGCTTATGTCCCTTTTTGAAGACAGCTTTCTTGTCTTCCTCAATCGAGACGATTCCTTCAGTGGGGTGTCTAGTTTTTCCAATATGTATTTTCTTTACCTTTTCGATACCTTCATCGGGCTTAATATTACGGTGGTGTGGATGCTTTTCTGGTATTTTATGGGAAGTCTCGAAATTTCTTAACGGAGTTTGTTGCCCTGAGCTAACTAGTACATATTCTTGGCCTTGTCTGGGCTCTGTGATTATATCTACGTCGGCATTTATCCGGTAGAATGCACAGACTAATAAACATCTGTAACAAAGAAAACGAGTTATAAGATATGTACGTAGATAAATTATTATGATTACGAAAGTAGAGAGTTGGTGCTTCATGTTGAATCAGCAGGAACGTAGCTCGCGCGCGCCTACAAGCTTTGTGATCTAAACCCGAATCAAGGAGCACTGACTCATCTATTGTCTGCATTTCGACATTGCGTTTTCAACGTACATAATGTAGGCATCCGACGTGTTTGCATTTTAAAGTAATTTTGATTGTAGTAAGTACTTATACTTAGAGGCTTAATGCGCCCGCTTTTAACTCCGTTTTTGTTACTCATTTCGTAACGAGCGGTTGCATTTGCATGACCTATCAATATATTTGACACAGTTACACGACGGAGCGCAAAGAAGTGGTGTGAAAACATACCAGACTACTGCAAAACAAGCATTGTCGATTGCAACAGTTTACAAGTGCGATGTGGTCGTGAGAAATTGTCAACGAAAATCGGAGCGTGGGTGCATTACGGGTGTTGATTCAACAAGTGCCTATCGATGAGGCAACACATCATAGCTACCACTTTCGCTGAGAACACTCTCTCGGGTGAGCCGGCGTCGGCACGTCACAGCGACGATCATCCGAGTACACACAACAAAAACACTATCGGAATCGAATCGCTATTGTCCATTATAAGGAAACCGTTTGGTGCCAGTGGTGAGATTAACAGAACTTAACGTTTTTATGTTACAGAAAAAATCTTAATAAATCTATCATTTCAGATTAAGATGATAAAATTAATTAATTAACAGATTATCCTTGGTCCCGTAAGTGTGCCAATTTTAGAACATTATACGGGAAAACAGGTGACCTTATTGTACCTATTTTCCGGTATTATGTTCAAAAATTCTTAAATACACTAGTTATAACAATTTCTTGATAATACTCTCTATCCATTACCGTTTATATATTTGAAATTAACTCAATACCAGTATGATATTTAATTAAAACAAATATTGCCTAGGTTACACTTTTCTATATTATTATCTCCGAAAAATAGATATTTTACATTATTACAGTATATATATGAACAAAATAACAAAATTGACCGCATACTCGCACAAATGATTAAGAAAACAGCCATTGAAACACGTAAAATCCAAATACGTATTTCCTCGGTAGAGCAACTGGTCTATTACCGGTTCAATTTCACTAGCATAAGGTCGGTTGGAGCAAGGCTATGTGAGTGGGAGCTAGCCAGAACTGTGCCTACGTACTAACACAACACTTGGTTGCTATTTTTATAACTTTCATAAATATAAAATTAAACTTTGTCCTCTTATCAGTGATAACATTAAATTAAAATGCTATCGACATAGAACTTAAACAATATATTATAGTGCATTAATAAATTTATGAATAGCTTAAATTCAAACTAATTGATTAATATAATCTAATATTAGTTGATATGAATGTACAAAGGTACTGATATAAATATTGATGTATCTATTTAAACAAAACTTTGAATTCAATATCAAAACAAATCACATAGTAAGTATTTACGGTAAATATAAATCTGTTTCTTATATTATATAAAACTTTAAAAAATCAGAACAAATATATTTTATATTTTTGGATGAAAAATTTATAACTAAACATATTTTTTAAAACTGTTGTAGGATGTTAGTTCTGCTAATATTTTTAATGGCTGATAATTACTGAGATAATAATAGTGCTACTGTAAAAACAAATCGTGGTCTATTATTATGATGTAAACACTCACTGAAAAAAATAAGCTTTCTCGCTGTTACCTATTGCGCAAAAACTTTAACAGTGACATTTTTTTCCAAACTAGCGTGTTCCGAAGAGAATGTTATTACACGCAAAATCATTGCAGTTAAAACTATAAAACAGTTAAATAACAATGTATTGGCAATTTGTACTTGTACTTTCCCTTTCCAATATTGAAATATATTTTTCGATGCAATTTATTACTACGGAATGTACTATTTTTTATGTCACAACTCTGCAATAAAACTATATCGTAATGGAAGTGGTAATTATAACATTGAAACGTAACGTCAGTAGTAAATAATAATTATAAGAGGAAGTCATTTATATCACGATTAAATTGTTACCATTAAAGTAGATTTGATAAGTTTATCGTGCCTTACTGGAGTGTGATGTCTTTGGACTTGGGAATATCTTTGGACTTGGGAATTCAGTAAAGATCTCGTGTCCGAATCATGGATTTATTGGGTTCGATAACCTGGGCCGCGTGACAGCGTGATTGATGCTGTGAGTATGCAGACGCATCGTGACGTGATACGGGAAATCGTCAACCTTTGCGGTCATTTAAAAAAATGCAGTATTTTTTTATGACTTTAGTTCATTTATTTAAGTTAGACTTCCTTTGTATTTTAACTCAATCTGTTTATAAGTTCTGAATAAACCGACAAAGATCTATAAATATTGCGTGTTTTCCTTTGAAACACGTGACTCTAAAATTCATATTCAAATGCTCAAATATTTTGATCAATGTTCTCTTGCATAATATATAACATTTAATATCGACAGTTGAATTCATGTTTTTTTATGATTTACAATTATGTGATCATAACGATTGTTGGTATATATCTTAAAATATAGAAAATTCTGGATAAGCAAAACTTTTCAATATAGTAACTACGGTAGCTACTCTATGCAATGAGCAAGGAAATATTTGATATGTTAGATTTAATTAAGAATAGAATAAAACATATAGGATATATATATACATAATAAATAAATATATATACACATTTACCAGGAATAGTGGCAGTTGGTAGCAGCAGAATATTACATTGTGAAAGGTAGTATTTAACCCTACGCTATTTTTAATATATTAAAGATTTAAGATAGATATAAGGTAGAAACTGGAAGGAAATTCCTGAAACAGGGAGCTGATCAGTGAAAAAAGAATCGCAAAAAGAAATATTTATCAACATGTATAGTGATTCTCACATAACAGAAATAAGTGAATCTACTATACGAACAAACATGAAAATAAATCGACGTATGTAGTAATAAAAAATATTAGATAAATTCTGCTTAAGTACAATACGATAGTTATACATAAAACGATAAAGTTATCATTACATATATATAAATACAATCGCATGGAATTTGGGGCGTGGTACAAATATAATAGTCGTCCCCAATACTGTTATACGTCTTTTCTGTTATAAAGTGTTCATAAATCTTTGCTGGAACACTATATAGTACCCATTAAAGTAGCTAGACTAGTCTGTAATATAATTACACGATAGGGATTTATGAAATAAAATAATTAGTTCCGACTACATCTAAATCACACTATAAAAAGTTTGAAACGAGAAATGTATTTTATAGCGACAGCTGTATAATATATATAAAAGCGATGAGCAAAGGACACTAGTCGTAAGCAACGAGTTTGTTTTGTTATGATTGTTATAAACTTTTAAAAGCGTTCAAATTTTTCATGCGGGTTCTTTTTAGGACGTAGGTGCTCACTAAGGCGGAATTTTACGAAATTAGACCCCTAAGGGGAAAAATTAAGGGATGAAAGTTTGTATGAAACTTCCTTACTATAAGTGCTAGGAGTTTGAAATTTTTCATGCGGGTTTTTTTTTAGGACGTAGGTGCTTACTAAGACAAAAGCTATTGATTATATATAAACTTTTAAGAGCGTAATTTATCTGCAGTCGGATTTTATTTTTGAACTTATTTTTATATATAATTAATTTTCGGGTGTAATTAAGCAAAATCACAAGCAAAGTTATCAATGTATATAAATGTGCAAATTGAGCCCTTTCATTTGATACCCTAGTCGGAATGATTGTATAATATATTATTTTTAGTTCCAGAGGACTCTGTTGCTAATTTAATGTGACTTAACATATCCTATAACACCTACAACTATACAAATAGTTTCAAAGTTATAAGGGAACAGGTGAACATTCTTACATACCGGCCAAAATCATAACCCTCCTTTTGGCTACGCCGTAGTCGGGTAAAAAGATGACAAGAAATCAGTTCTATCTAACATACTGTGGTGATATGGTATAATAACAGTGTGCTGTTGATTGTACAAAATACACATTCGTTTATCGATGAATACAAAAACATGTTTTCATTGAATTATTATCTTCCAACTTTAATACTACGACTGGAACCTATTTCGGTCAGGAGTGTAGGTTGTACCTGCATGCCTTTTTATAATTAACAGACTCTCCGTTTCCTTAAACTTTTTAATTTTGTTTTCACAAACAAGTAAAGGTTATTGTCCGCCTTTATTCAGACTCTGGACAAATAAAAAAGGGAATTCGCTCGATACCAGCTTTCGCCTTATATGTACATGTGGTTTCAACATTAATCATTCGTATAAAATAATAACAAAAAACACTCGAAAACATGTTTAAGTTATGATTTCTCGCATTTTGGATGCGTTTCCGTACGAATTGAAGTTACTCGTATGATTTCCGATGTGCTTTAGGACGTCTCAAAACTTAATCTTTATATCGCATCGGATCTTAATCATAAGCATATGTGACTCACAACCGCATGTAATTGCACCCAAAGTATGTATGACCCAACTTAAACTATTTGAAAATAACACTTGTGTACGTAAGAAACTTTTATTGCAATACATTAGACAGATAATTGTCGTGGTTTACATCACGTAAGCAATTGACACGAGAACTAAACAATCACATATTTGAAATAAAGGTTTTTGGCACGAGAACTTTACTCTACTTTGTATTGGTCAATCCACTAGCAAGGTTGAATTAATTACAGTTCTTAATTGAATTACACGTTAAATTATACGAATAACTACCATTGCGGTGGAAGTGCGGTGGACTGCGACCGGGCTCCGCCTGAGTGTTGTGGTTATGTCATTGTACTATGCGCTGAGAATGGCAATGAAATCAAAGTTTTACCTATCTATTTATAAAGAGATGTTTACAAAAAACGATAATATTGAGATGAAAAACAACTTTTATTGTGACTTATTATGTTAT